TGCCTTGCTAGGGCCCTTTGGGGGGGGATAAAAAGCACCCCGCAATTCAGGTCGGGGTCCTTGCCCAAGGAGAGCGACCACTGCGTTGGGGCTCGAGGGCTCGGACCCTGGCTAGCCAGAAAATAAACCTCCTCTTGTGTGATTGCATCCTCGATGTCTCTGTTTTCTGTCCGGTGGGGCTGCGGAAGGTCGGTCCCTAACATTTGGGGGCTCGTCCGGGATTCGCCTTCCCCACAGACTCCCGGATAGAACTCAGGGCTGAGGGAGGAGTGTGAAAATCCACCCCGGACTAGCCGGGTGTGGTGTTGGGCAAGGGACGCGGAATCCCCTTGCAGGACCCCGGATCAGGACGCCGGCACAGGACCTAGGCGGACGCGCTGGTGGGTCGCCGGTCGGAGCCAGGCGGAGACGTCCTCTGGCCCCGTTGGGACTCCGGAGCTGACCTTGTAGCCTAGGGCTCGGTCATGTCCTCTGGCTCCGTTGGGACTCCGGAGCTGACCTTGTAGCCAAGGGCTCGGTCAGGAGGATACCGGGGAGCAGGTCCGGACCAGGTTAGGTTTATTGTTAATTCGTTTTCCGTATGTTATCTGTCGTCTGTCTCGTTTGTCGCCGGCTTTTGTGTTCTGTCTGAATGAATGGGTTTTGTGAGTGAGGTTGTTGATTCCACAGGCCCACGCTAAGACCCGTGAGGAGACATCAGAGTGCCGAGGACTGGAATTGACTAGATCAAAACCGGAGCCGGTACTTCCTTATAGTTGCTTGTCTTACGCCACCATGGGACAAGCCATGACAACGCCCCTTTCCCTTGTACTGGGCCACTTTAGAGATGTAAAGGACAGGGCCCGTAATCTGTCCTTAGAGATTAAGAAGGGTAAATTGGTCACCTTATGCGAAGCCGAATGGCCCATGTTCAATGTCGGGTGGCCTAAGGAAGGGTCCTTTGACAGGACCGTGGTTGAGAAGGTAAAAGAGAAAATCTTTGGGCATCCTGGGCACCCCGATCAGATCCCATATATCGTAGTCTGGCAGGACCTGGTCAGAGATCCCCCGCCTTGGATGCGAGCTTTCGTGCCCCCCCTTAGGGGACGTACAGAGATCCTCACAGTACAAGAGGCTGGGAAGAAGGGGAAGCCAGGTTCGTCACCCGCCAAGGTTCTCCCAGACTCTAACCTCTACCCTGACCTGACCGGGCTTGAATGGAATGTCCCCACACTGCCTATAATAGTAGTCGAATACCCCAGGGCTGCTCCACGGCCTTTTTCTCCTTTTATTTCTCCCAGGATATACGGCCTCAGTTTACTGGACTCATATCTTATACCCACCCATGTTCAAGCCCCTTACACGGTGGGACTTGAGATCCCTCTGTCTACCAGTGAGTGCACACGGACTGGAGGAGTATGGTTGCCTCCACGTTCCCGGCAGAGAAATGGAGCAGACTGCCTTAATATCACAGTCAGTAGTTTATTATTCCCATAATCCTATGAGCATTACCAGCTTACACAGTACAACATGGTGCATTCCCACGACCACCCCAAAATGTCTATGTTATCAACTGGTCGTGCCTGGTCTTGTCATTTTCTGTCTTTTACTTTCTAGGACGATGGATTGGCCAAGTGACCTCCCAATGCCATTATGAAGAGACACTGGCTGAAGCTTGCATCTTTCGCCTGCTCACACTCCGTCTCTAATTTTATTTTATTTTATTTATTTTTGAGACAGTCTCACTCTGTTGCCTGGTCTAGAGTGCCATGGTGTCAGCCTAGCTCACGGCAACCTCAAACTCCTGGGCTCAGGCGATCCTCCTGCCTCAGCCTCCACAGTAGCTGGGACTACAGGCATGCGCCACCATGCCCGGCTAATTTTTTCTGTATATATTAGTTGGCCAATTAATTTCTTTCTATTTATAGTAGAGACGGGGTCTCGCTCTTGCTCAGACTGGTTTTGAACTCCTGACCTTGAGCAATCAGCCCACCTCGGCTAGGATTACAGGCATGAGCCACCGTGCCTGGCCCTCTAATTTTAAATAAAAGGCATGAGGGGACTGGGCCTAGAAGAAAGGATGGATGGATGAAAGGAATGTGAGCAGGTGAATGAAGGGTCAAGTGAAAACGCCTGCCCGAAGCTGCTTGTTTGCTGGGTGCTAGCTAAGGTCAGCTGAAAACAGCTGACCCGTGTGGATATTAGCAAACGGCCCTGATCTTTTGCACGTGTCTTTGGAAATACATGAAGGACTTAACTGAGAAGGCCATTTTCTCCTGCAGGCTTTGGTCTCTCCCCTTCTCTCTAAACACGATGTGTTTCGAGTAATTCCTTTGCTACCGAGCACCAGGGCGAAAAGCTGCCACTACGGTGGCTCACGCCTGTTAGCCCTTTGGGAGGCCGAGGTGGGAGGATCACTTGCACCCAGGAATTTGAGGTTGCAGTGAGCTATGACACCATGCCACTGCACTCCAGCCTGAGTGACAGATGAGATCCAAAAAAATTCTCATGTTGGTAGCTGCAGTTCAATTTCCACTTCCACGTAGTCTTCCCTTGCATGAATATGGCATAATTTACTGATTTTGCTGACAATAGACATTTGTTTTTTTCTTATTTCAGTGTATTACAGGGGGTCAAATGTTTAGTTATGTATATTGCCCTTGCCCTACCCGAGTCAGAGCTTCAAGCGTGTCCAGCCCCCAGACAAGATACTTGAATTGTTTTCTTCAGTTTTTTGCTATTAGAAACCATGCTGATGTGAACATTTTTGCACGCGTCTTCTGCGACACGCATACATGCCTCTTTGGGGTAGCACATATAGACCTGGGCGTGGAACCGCTGGTTCACAGGGTAGGCATTTACTAAGCAATGCCAAATTGTCTCCAAGGTGTCTCTACTGAGTCACACTTTTCCATCAGCAGTTCTGTTGCTCCGTGTCCCTACTGACACTTGGCGTTTTTAGATTTCTGGACTTTCTTCCTAATCTAGTGGGTATGATGGTGTTTCATGTGGCCTTACTGGCATTTCCCCGAGCGTGTGTTCACGTGCTCACTGGCCACTGAGTCTGATTGCTTATTCATGTGTTTTGTCCATTTTTTCCCATTGGGTTAACTGTTGTTTATTTATAGGAGCTCTTTATATATTCTGAATGCTAATCCTTCGAGAGGTGACATAGCATCGTCAGTAAGCCTACAGCCTGATTCTGCACCCGTGAGATCATGGGTGAAGCACCGTACATACGTGCCTGTTTCCTGTAGAATGGGAGTCGCTATAAACGTCACCTCCCAAGGCCCTGCGAGGCTGAGATGAGATCCTACCTGTGAAGTGCTTAGAACGGTACTTGGTGCACAGTAGCTCAGTGAGCACTCGCTGTAAGTATTCGTTATGTGTATAACAAATATCTCAGTCTGGGGTGGGCCTTTTAATCTTCATGATAGTGGTTTTTATTTATTTGAGACAGAGTCTCACTTTGTTGCCCAGGCTAGAGTGAGTGCCGTGGCATCAGCCTAGCTCACAGCAACCTCAAACTCCTGGGCTCAGGTGATCCTCCTGCCTCAGCCTCCCCAGTAGCTAGGACTACAGGCATGCGCCACCATGCCTGGCTAATTTTTTCTATATGTTTTTAGTTGGCCAATTAATTTCTTTCTATTTTTAGTAGAGACGGAGTCTGGCTCTTGCTCAGGCTGGTCTTGAACTACTGACCTCAAGTGATCCTCCCACCTTGGCCTCCCAGAGTGCTAGGATTGCAGGCGTGAGCCACCGTGCGGAGCCTCATGATAGTGGGGTGTTTTTTTTTTTTTTTTTTTTTTGAGACAGAGTCTCGCTTTGTTGCCCAGGCTAGAGTGAGTGCCGTGGCGTCAGCCTCGCTCACAGCAACCTCAAACTCCTGGGCTCAGGCGATCCTCCTGCCTCAGCCTCCCGAGTAGCTAGGACTACAGGCATGCGCCACCATGCCCGGCTCATTTTTTCTATATATATTAGTTGGCCAATTAATTTCTTTCTATTTATGGTAGAGATGGGGTCTCGCTCTTGCTCAGGCTGGTTTCGAACTCCTGACCTCAAGCAGTCCACCCGCCTCAGCCTCCCAGAGTGCTAGGATTGCAGGCGTGAGCCACCGTGCCAAGCCTCATGATAGTGTTTTATGCAGATATTTTTTTTTAATGACTCAAACTGGGTCTTGGTGAAGCGGGAACACAACACGCTTTGCCAATTTCACCAGGAGGCAGGACCGAGGGAAGAGGGGAGTAAACTCCGGATGTGTGGGCAGCCACAGGCGCTTGGTCTGGATATATTTGGGCAGCTGCATTTCTGCAGAAATCACGCCAACTGAACTGGCAAGATGTGTTTTCGTTGCTAATGTGAAAAATAAAATGGAATAAAACTTAAAACTCGGAAAAAGGAGGAGTAGGGTTTACTTGCTCCTTTCCTGGGAAAGTCTAGATTCCCGGGCCAGTCCCCTCTCCCCGCATCGCTTGGCTGCGCTTCTCTCCGCGCCGTCCTTTCTGGGGCAGGGTCTCCCGCCAGTGTGGCCAAAGTAGACGCCAGCCACTCTGTGCTTCCGTCCCAGGAGCTTGGTGGCCCGGGGGAAGGAGACCGCCTCTAGCAAAGAGCTGAGGGAGCTAGGGGGCGTGGCCGGGGCGTGGCCAGGGGCTACCGTGCTCTGATTGGCAGGTCTGGATCAAATGCCCTCCCCTTGGATCCGGGGAGGGACCGGATCCACAGGAGCCACGTGGCTTGGAAATAAGGGACCAGTGGATCCTCAAACATAATAGGGGTGCTGCTATCAGAAATAGGGGTAGGGGGCCGGGCACGGTGGCTCACGCCTTTAATCTTGGCACTCTGGGAGGCCAAGTTGGGAGGATCGCTTGAGGTCAGGGGTTGGAGACCAGCCTGAGCAAGAGGGAAACTGTCTCTACTAAAAATAGAAAAATTAATTGGGTGACTAAAAATAGCTACACATGGTGGTGCATGCCTGTAGTCCCAGCTACTTGGGGAGGTTGAGGCAGGAGTTGGAGGTTGAACCTAGGAGTTGGAGGTTGCTGTGAGCTGGGCTGATGCCACTGCACTCTAGCCCAGGCAACAGAGTGAGGCTCTTTTCAGATAAAGAGAAATAGGGGTAGGGGATTCCAGGCTGGCAAAGCAACAGACATCCCTACGATGACATTGGTGCGGTTCTCTTAGGCTGGCTGGGGAAGCCTACGTGGGCCCCGGGGTGTGGGCGGGACTGACAGGACAACTCTTGCCTGTGGGCTGGGGACAGCCCTGCAGCAGGGAGCCAGAGGGCCTTCAGTGAAGCGGGAACGCGGAGAATCTGGCAGAGGTGGCCGTGGAAGGGGCAGAAGCAGCAGCCCAGACCCGAGGAGGTACGTGACCACGGGTGGAGCCTCGGGACTGGCAACCTCTGACATGTGACACCGTGTGAGGCACTCCTCTGAACACATCACACGTAACTTGTTTGCTCCTTGCAACAACCCTCTAAGGAAAGTCCTACTGTCCCCCCACCGTGGCGGAGGTGAGATGGAGGCACAGGGGTTAAATGACTTGCCCAAAGACACACAGCTGGAAGTGGCAGAGCTGGATTCGAACTCGGGCCCTCTGGCTCTTGATCCTGGCATGGCCGTAACTACCCTCACACGCCTCATATGGGGATGGAGGCGGTCTTAGCAATTCTACAGGAAGCAAACTTGTTTTCTGTCCCTCTGTTGGTGGCCACACAGCTGGGGGGCTTGGACAATATCTGTTGGTCCACCTGGAGGGAAGGATGCCAGAAAGCTGGAGGGACATCGAGGTGCCACCGAGGTGACAAGGCTCTGGTAGGGCAGGAACCCCCTCACTGAGGGGGGAAGATACCCGTGGTGGGTTTGTGGCCTTATCTGCACCTGTTTCTTCCATTTCTTCCAACAGCCCCAGAGTCGTCCTGGGGAAACGCTGCTCCACCTGGACCCTGAGTTGCGAGCAGCCACGGTGGGCCATCGTGGTCACAGGGGGCCCCTGGCTCCCAGCCCAGGACAGGTAGATGCAGAGAGAAACGGGACACACAGACAGAGATGGGGACAGAGAGACGTGGATTCAGACGGAAATAAAAACAGAGACAAAAACGTCGGAGAGGGAGAGACAGGCTGAGATGGAGATATGAGGGCAGGGAGAGAAACTGCCAGATGGAGAGAGACCCAGAGACACAGACCCGCCTCCTGCCCCACCGTGGCGTGGCCCTGCCCAGACCCGTGGCGACAAGCAGGCAGAAACGCGCCCCCATACTGACCTCCTTCTTAGCGCTCACACAGCGGCAGCCGGTCCTCCCTCGGCTCTGCCCGCCTTCCCTCCTGCTGCTGGCCAAGCCCATTAAGCTGCTACCCTGGCCACAACTGAAGGCCCCACGCCCCAGGGAGGAAACCACAGAAGAGGCGTCCCTGCTGCCTGGCACCCCAAACCATCAATTAGTATTAACGAGGGAAGGCTCCTCATGGCTAAAGACCCCCATCGAAGCCCGGATGCAGGTGAGGCCCCACCCCCCGTGGTGACTCAGGAGGTTAAAGGGCTTGGGGCCCGCCTGCCAGCCCAGAGTGTCCCGATGGCGTGCGGCGGCGGGAGGGTCACCATCCAGCTGGTGGGCGAGGGGGCCGGGCCGGGCGCCGGGGGCCCGCAGCTCTTTCGGGGCCAGAGATACGAGGCGATCCGGGCGGCCTGCCTGGAATCCGGGATCCTGTTCCGAGACCCTCATTTCCCCGCGGGCCCCGATGCCCTCGGCTACGACCAGCTGGGGCCGGACTCGGAGAAGGCCAAGGGGGTGACGTGGATGCGGCCCCACGTGAGCTGCGGCTGGGGGCCTGGCCCCCCCCGGGTCTGGTGGCGGTGGGGGCGGCCACCGTGGGGCTGGCTCAGTGCAGGCTCTGCCGGGCGGTGGGGTGGGGGACTGGGGGGGTCGAGCCGAGCCCCCGCCCCAGGCTTCGCAGGCCTGTCGGGGCAGGAGGCCGTCGTCACTCTGGGGCAGGGAGGGCAGGCGGGGACGCAGGGTCTGACCCCCGGTGGCTCCTTGCCTGGCTCCCTGCGCTGAGCCCGGACCCGTCACCCCCAGGAGTTCTGTGCCGAGCCCCGGTTCATCTGCGAGGACATGAGCCGCACGGACGTGTGTCAGGGGAGACTGGGTGAGACCCCGGAACCCCTCTTGGGCCCTCGGGTCCAGCAGGTTGCCACCGGGCCCCCGGGTCTCCCTGTTTCCGTCCTCGCCCACTCCCAGCCTTCCCTCCCAGGTAACTGCTGGTTCCTTGCGGCCGCCGCCTCCCTCACTCTCCACCCCCGGCTCCTGTGTCGCGTGGTCCCCCCCGGACAGGGCTTCCACAGTGGCTACGCAGGCATCTTCCACTTCCAGGTATAGCTCAGCTCCTCTGCCCGTGCCTCAGTTTCCCCCACGGTGGAATGGATTTCCTAGCTGACTTTGCCCCCTTGGGGCTGTAATTCCTGGACTCTGGGCCTGGGGCAGCAGGGCCAGGGGGCGGAGGGTGGGAGCCGAGCCCTGCCCCCCCTTCTCCCGCCAGCTCTGGCAGTTCGGCCGCTGGGTGGACGTCGTGGTGGACGACAGGCTGCCCGTGCACGAGGGGAAGCTGATGTTCGTGCGCTCGGAGCAGCGGAACGAGTTCTGGGCCCCGCTGCTGGAAAAGGCCTACGCCAAGTGAGGACCCTGAACCCCCGGCTGCAGCCCACCCCCGGCAGCGGCCCCAAGCCACCACGGGGGCCCTGGAGTCCCCTGAGCTCTGGAATCCCCCGAGGATCCCAGACCAAGTGACAACCCCGGAACCCTAACGTCACAACGTCCCCTAAGGGCCTCCTTGTCTTAGACATCTCTACCCCTCGATACTTCACAGAAAATGTTAGGGACCCACCGATCGCCTAATTCATAAGGACCCTAGATCCCACATATCCGGCCCTGGAGGCCCACATCTGAGCTCTGTCCCCTCGGGGAACCTGTGATCTCAGAAACCCTCTCCCAGTCCACTGAGAGTCTGAAGCACCCCGAAAACGTTGGGTGTAATCCCTGGGCCCCCAAACCTTTGCCTCTCCCCATGCCGAGGCTCTGAACCCCCTGCCTGGCCCTGCAGGGGTTACCCCCAAGGCAGACGCCTCCCACAGACTCAGTCTCAGACCCCCGAACCCAAACCGCACAGTCCCGGTGGCCCCAGGGACCACGGGCCCAGCTGGCACAGCCTTCCAGTGTGGGGCACGGTCCCTCACCTCGAGCATCTGAACGCTTGGGGGGTAGCCCCTGGGGATCCCACACCCTGGGCTAGACCCCAGGTCCCAGGTGGCCCGAGGTGTCGCGCCTCAGCTCTCACCCGGCTCTGCTCCCGCAGGCTCCATGGCTCCTACGAGGTCATGCGAGGCGGCCACATGAACGAGGCTTTCGTGGACTTCACGGGCGGCGTGGGTGAGGTGCTCTATCTGAAGCAGAACACCTTGGGGCTCTTCTCTGCCGTGCGCCACGCCCTGGCCAAGGAGTCCCTTGTGGGCGCCACTGCCCTGGTGAGAGAACACATCTCCCACGTGGGCCCCCACTGGAACTTAGAGCAGTCGGGGCTGGGGTGGGGGTGCTCCCTGTGTCCCTCTCTTCTCAGCTGCTGCTGTTGGCTTATTCTCTCACAAATCAACTAGCGTAAGTCAGAAGGAAGTTTATTTGCTCTCATTTAACAAAGCAAGCTTCAGGCATAGCTGGATCCAGGTGCTCAGAGAATGTTGCAAGTGTTTTTTTTTTCCATTTTTCTGCGTTAGCTTCGCTCTCAGACTGGCTTCTCTCGTGGGCATAAAAGGGTCCCCCATAGCTGGAGGTGTCTCCCCGTACCCCAGGGGTTTAGGAAAAAAGGAGTGCCCCTCTCTGAGGATCTCGGAAAAAGACCCAGGATTGACTCTCAGGGCTTAGCTTGGGTCGTGTGTTCATCTCTGGCCTCATCACGCCCTCGTTTGTTCACGGAGTTGGTCTAACTCATTCACTCGTTCATGTACTCTGTTCCCTGCTGGGTCACTGATTCTTTCGTGTGTCTGTCGCTCCTCTTTCCATCTTTTTTTGTCCCTTGTTTCCCCTGCCGCTCACGCCAACCCCAGCAGCCTCCCTGGGCCCTGCGTGGTTGCGTTCTGTGCCCTGGTTGGGGGCAGGAGGTCGGGGCCGGGAGGAGCAGCTACCCTCCCCTCCCGCACCTCGGCCTCACCGTCCCCGTCCTCTGCCCAGAGCGACAGCGGCGAGTACCGCACGGAAGACGGGCTGGTGAAGGGACACGCGTACTCGGTCACGGGCACGCACAGGGTGAGTGTCCCCGCGAGGGCGGGTGGCGGGGCCGGCGGGGCGCCACCCTCACTGACGCGCTGCCCCAGGTGTCCCTGGGCTTCACCAAGGTGCGGCTGCTGCGGCTGCGGAACCCCTGGGGCCGCGTGGAGTGGACCGGGGCCTGGAGCGACAGGTGCGGCGGGTCGCGGGCGGGGGTGGGGCAGGCCCACCTGCGCACGCCTCACAGCCCGCCCTCCCCAGCTGCCCGCGCTGGGACGCGCTGCCCGCCGAGTGTCGCGACGCCCTGCTCGTGAAGAAGGAGGACGGCGAGTTCTGGTCGGTGCCTGGGGTCCCCGCTCTGCCCCCGGGAGGGACGCCGGGCCGAGGGGCTGGAGGAGGGACGAGTCCCGCGGGAGGGGCGACGGGGAGCCCAAGAGGATGGGGGAAGCTGTGCGTGGCGGTGGCGATTTGGGTGTCGGGTCCCCATTTTGGAGAAGTCAAGACGGCGCAGACGCCGGGGCCCGGGAGGCACGGGGCGTCCGGGGTGAGAGGGAGGGTGGCGTTTAGGGCGACGGAGGGAGGCTGGTGATGTTTGGGCGTTTCCTGGGACGCAGCGATGCTGGGGGCTGAGGGACGCTTGTCGATCACGGAGAGTCTGGTGGCCTTGACAGCCGGAGTGCGAAAGCCATCGATGACATTTGGGGGCAGCTCGTGCATCTTGGCGACTGTGGGGAAGTTCTGAGGACGGAGGGCTCAGCCCCGTGGGGGGGTCGTGTCTGGAGAAGGGTGCCTGGCACTATCCAGAGCCTAACGGGGGGCTTTGTGATTTGGGGGTCACTCCTGGGCCCTGAGCTGTTTGGGGCCGGGCAGTGCGTGACCGTGCCACCGTCCAGGATGGAGCTGCGGGACTTCCTCCACCACTTCGACACGGTGCAGATCTGCTCGCTGAGCCCCGAGGTGCTGGGCCCCCGGCCCGCGGGCGGCGGCTGGCACATCCACACCTTCCAGGGCCGCTGGGTGCGCGGCTTCAACGCGGGCGGGAGCCAGCCGAGCGCCGGTGAGGTCGGGCCCTGGGAGGCAGGCGGGGGGGGGGGGTGGGGGGGCTGTGGCAGGCCACGGGACCCCCCTCTTTCTCTTCTCTCAGAAACCTTCTGGACCAACCCCCAGTTCCGGCTGACGCTGCAGGAGCCCGATGAGGAGGACGAAGATGAGGAAGGGCCCTGGGGGGGCTGGGGGGCGGCGGGGGCGCGGGGCCCAGCACCGGGGGGCCGCGTGCCCAAGTGCACCGTCCTCTTGTCACTCATCCAGCGGAACCGGAGGCACCTGAGGGCCAAGGGCCTCACTTACCTCACCGTGGGCTTCCACGTGTTCCGGGTGAGGCCCCGGGCTGAGCGCGGGCAGGCTGAGGGTGGGGGTCGAGGGGACGTGCAGGGGTGGGGGCCGAGGGCCAGGCTGAGTTAGACAGGGAGCCAAGGGAATCGGAGGGAGAGGCTAGAGTGGGGACAGAGGCTGGGGGCCAGAAGGGCCAGAGGTGACCAAGCAGACGAGAAGGGCTGAGGGCACAGATGAGGGCGGGGTTGGGGACTGACGAAGGACAGAGGGAGGTCGGTCCCGGTAGAGGTCCAGTGCAGGAGGGAAGAAGGAAGGGACGGGGTGAGGCGAGGATGGGGAGGGTACTCAGGGCGGTGGCTGCCTCTCCCCTGCCCCTGACTCCCCTTGCTCTTTCTTGCAGATTCCAGATGAGGTGAGCCTCGGGGCGCCCCCACCCCCTCCCCCACCCCTCCCTGCGCGGGGGACATGGAGGGCTAAGCCAGGCGGGCTTGGAAGGGCGGCGGGAGAGCGGGAGGGTGAGCCTGGCCGGGCCTCGGTCTCTCCCCGCCTTGTCCCCAGCTGCTGGGCCTCTGGGACTCCCCGCGCAGCCGTGAGCTCCTGCCCCGGCTGCTGCGCGCGGACCGCTCGCCCTTCTGCGCCCGCCGCGACGTGAGCCGCCGCTGCCGCCTGTGCCCCGGCCACTACCTGGTGGTGCCCAGCGCGGCCCGCACCAGCGACGAGGCCGACTTCATGCTGCGCATCTTCTCCGAGCGCCACCACACGGCCGTGTGAGCCCCGGGACCCCCAGACCTGTCTGCCCGGCCCCCCATATAGACCTGACCGCCCGGCCCCCCCCCCCATAGACCTGACCCCTCCATCCAGCCCCGAACTGCCAGTCCCTGGGGGATGAGCCCAGCCCCAGCCCCAGCCCCGCGGGCGAGCGGCGCCCTCCCCATCTCCGTCTGTAATTCGCAGGGAGATCGACGACGCGATCAGCGCCGACCTGCGGGTGCTCCAGGTGGGCGCTGGGGGGGGTGGGGCGCCGGCGAGGGGAGGGCTCACGTCTGGAACTGAACGTCCCCTCCCCCGCCGCAGGGCCCCTGCGTGCCCCTGGAGCTGGGCTTGCACCTGCTGTTCGCGGAGCTGGCTGGAGAGGTGAGGGGGGATTGGGCGAGGGCCCTTCCTCACCCAGGGGTGTCATTTTGATTTAAGTCCTCCCTCCCTCTCGGCTTAAATCTCCTGACCACCTTTTCTAGAAATGTTCCCTGCCTCAGGGACTTCACTGAATCAGTCCCTTAACACTGTCCTCACCCTGCCAAGGTGCCTTCCTCTCCTGGTGCTCCTGGCCCGGCCCATCACCGCCCTGCCCACTGTGGGGCCGGGGCTGTTCCCCCCACTAGGCCGGGAGCTCCGAGGGTGGCCCTCCCGGCGCGGGGCCTGGCCCAGAGTGGTTGAGGGGCCTCACTCCAGTGGCCTCACTCCGCACTTTCCCTGACCAGGAGGAAGAGCTCGATGCCCCTCAGCTCCAGGCCTTGTTAAGTGTCGCCCTGGAGCCCGGTGAGTCAGTTGGGGTTGGGGGGACGTTCTTGGCAGGTCGTGCATCCAGAGCCAGCCCCCCCTGGTGTGTGTTAGTCCACAGTGCTGCTGGGAGTCAGGCCACGGAGGCCTGGGCTCGGCCTGGCAGCGTGTGGGGCCTGGCAGGTGCCCCCTGCCGGCCATGGCCACCCACAAAACTCCCCTTCCTCTGAGGGGCGGGATGTGTAGCTGCCTTGAGCACAGGCTCACATCCCAGGCCTGTTAGTCACAGCAGTCCCTGGCTGTGCCTCAGTTTCTGTAAAATGGGGGAAGCAGTAACATCGACTTCAGGGAGTTACGTCCACGAAGCCCTTACGGTGGTGGCTGGCGTGCAGCGAGTACCGTTTTCCCTTTTGCCTGTAGCCAGGGCCCACACCCGAACCCCGGGAGAGATCGGGCTCAGGACCTGCGAACAGCTGCTGCAGTGTTTTGGGGTACGTGGGGGACAATGCCTGGGTGGGAGGATGGGTTAGGATGTTGGGGTCTCTGTTCACCTTATGGGGACATGGACCCTAAGCAATGGTTCCCATCCCCAGCACGGGGGCAGCCTGGCCCTGCACCACTTCCAGCAGCTCTGGGGCCACCTCCTGGAGTGGCAGGTAAGGCGGCGGGAGAGGCACCTTCAGGGACAGGGAGGTGGGTCTTCACGAGCAGGGTCCCAGGGAGCAGGTGGGAACCGGACCACCCTACGCTGACTTGGAGTGACTGGAATGTCCCTGCCCCGTCCACCCCTCTGTGGTCCCTGGAGGGGTACTAAATAGCTGAGGATCGAGAGCACAGCCTCTGGGCCTGGGTTAGAATCTCTGCTCAGCCCCCTTTTGGCTGTGTGACCGAGTCACCTTCCTTCCCCCCGAGGGGCTCGACTGCCAGTGGGGGCTCTGACCCCCGTGGGAGGGAAGGGCCAAAGGCCCCTCCGAACTCATCGCGGCGAGGAGGCGCTACCTACTGAGCCTCACTAAGCCCTTTGTGGGCAGAATCTCGATCAGGAGCCTGCAGGCCACGCTGCTGTTCCCACGTTAGGGGAGCCAGAGGTCCAAAGTGGTTAGGCTGCTTTGCCTGGGGCCCACAACCAGGAGAGAGGGATTCTGGAAGCCCCCTTGGCTTGGCAGCCCTCCTGGGGGTGCCCGGTCGCTGCCCAGGGGTTCTGGGTGGTGAGATTGACTCCCGCCTCCCGCCCAGGCCATATTTGACAAGTTCGACGAGGACGCCTCTGGAACGATGAACTCCTACGAGCTGCGGCTGGCCCTGAATGCAGCAGGTGTGGACGCGGGCCCTGGGGCGGTCACGGGGACAGGGGGGCCGTCCGTCCCCTTTTCTGTCCCGTCGTCTGTCTGCCCACGAGACCCACGCCTTAGTTCCTTGCCTGTCCCTCGTAAGGACTTGGGCGACCCTGAGAGAGGCCAGATGGGGGCTGCAGCTCTGCCGCAGGGCCGTTTTCCTGGCGCCAGAACAGGCCCGTCGCGTGCGCGGAAGCGCAGCGCCCTGACCGAGAACCGCGCCAGAGCGGTGCTGTTCACAGGCTCGGAAGCAAGCGGGAGGTGTGGGAGTGGAGAGGGCTGGAGGCTGTGGTCAGACGCGGAGCCCCCAGACCCCCGTCTGTCCCCGCACTGCAGAGGGAGTCCTGGGGAGGACGTTGGGGACGTAGGGTGACTGTGACCCAGCCGGCGTGAGGGTTTGGGGGTGTGTGAGACCCAGTGCGGGTGGTCAGGGGTCCAGGGCTGGGTGAGCAGAGTCGGAGCCAGGGGGGGACAGAGGGGCCGATGGGAGGCTTGTGCTCAGGCGTCCAGCGCCACGTGCCGGGGCCCCGCCGGGGGAGTCATCCTAGGCAGGAGAAAACTGATGAAGCGCTCCTGAGAATTTCTCCCCTGGGACTTCGAACGGGGTCAGCTGAGGGACATTCGGGTCCTTTGACCCCCTCGGGCTGGGTTTCCCACAGCCCTGGGCATAGCGACAGTGACCTGGGGCAGGTCACACAGCCGCGCCGAGCCCAGCCCAGCACGAGGCAGCGCTTGCCAAACACTTGTTCGTGAGGAACGGGAGAGCTCACAGAATTGCCCTCGCACTGTTTCTGTCTGGCCGCGCGGGGGGTGGAGGAGAGGTCAGCAGGCGCCCTCGAGTCTCGGAAAGGGGTCGAGAACCATTGTTTGGGGCTTCTAAAAGCCTCTCTTGAGATTCCACAGCAGAGAGGGCTTCTAAACTTGAGAAACGGCGTCTGATGTGCAGTATAAAGAAACTGCCTCCACAGGGGACGGACAGAAATGTTTGCTGCACAGAAATATTCCCTAGTGGGCAGGAGGGGGAGAAGGTCCTGCCGGATTTGGAGGAATGATACGCGCAGTTGACAGGCGTCACTGTTCCAAGCGGCTCCCTCCACTTAACCCACTTAATGGTCACACAACCCCATGAGGTTGGGACCTTTATCGCTCCCATTTGATGGATGGGGAAACTGAGGCCCAGAGAAGTGATAGGAACAGCCTGGGGTCACCCAGCTCGCTGGGGCAGAGCTGGGATTTGATGCCCGTGGGGTGAGTGGCACCCCTGGGACAGTGGAGTTCACAGCCCCCCTTTCCCCCCAGGTTTCCACCTGAACAACCAGCTGACCCAGGCCCTCACCAGCCGCTACCGCGACAGCCGCCTGCGTGTGGACTTCGAGCGCTTCGTGTCCTGTGCGGCCCGGCTCACCTGCATCTTCCGTGAGTGCCAGCTCCGGCACCGTGGGGGGGCTCAGGGAGACTGTCTCCCGCGGCTGGGGGCGGTGGGCACTCACCCTGCCCCTCTCTGGACAGGTCACTGCAGCCAGCACCTGGATGGGGGTGAGGGCGTCGTCTGCCTGACGCACAGACAGGTGAGCCCAGGCCAGAGGAAGGATGGGGGGCTCGGACACGGGCCCAGGAGCCCGCTGCCTCCAGCCTGCTGTCTCCCTTCTCTCGCCCAGTGGATGGAGGTGGCCACCTTCTCCTAGGACCCCAGGGAGCGGGGGCACCTGGCGCAAGATGGCCCTGCCCTGCCTGGCGCTGGTGACCTCTCTGCACTGTGCTCTCCTCAGCTGGACTCAGGACGGCAGTGTAGACGACACAAGCTCGTCCATGGTGCCGGCTGTAAGAGAGGGTCCCCAGCGGCACCTCCTTACTTTGCTGCACTCACGGGGAGCAGGGATCACGGGGCCTCCGTGTTCTGCCCTTGCTCTCCGACACGTAGGCAATGGAGACAGGACAGAGAAAGAGGACACTGTGGGAATCCTTAAAAATATTACATGTTTTATTATCCTGTCCCCAGAGGGTGGTTTATCCAGAAACCAAGAAAAAAAAAATCAATCAGAATAAACTCAAAAAGGGGAGGAGGGAACCAAACCCTCAACTACCAGGCAGCCAGGCCCGCTGCCCGCCGCCATGGGAGGGTCCCCGAGACCCAGCGGCAGACGGAGGGAAACCAGGAAGGGGGAGGCAGCTCACCTATGTGTTCATTACGAGAGCAAGAGACGGCAGAGATGTTGCCAGGTGAATATATATTTATATAATAAATCCGTAAGTTAATAAAGTAAATAGTAATTCTCTGAGAGTTTTTAATTTTTTTATAGCTTTTTTTTTTTATAGAGGTTTTTTTGTGGATTTTTTTCTTTTTTTGGTCCTTAGAAAATCTGAGACATGTACATGTGAGTCCAGACAAAGCAAGGCCCAGGCTGGCTGGGGTGGGGCGAAGGGCCTGGTCTGCCCCCCTTTCTCTGCTTACAGAAAGGGGGTGCTGAGCAGGGCCCTCCTCCTGGCCACAGAAATTGGGGAGGGGGGTGGGGCCCCGGGAGCGGTGGCGCCCTCTGCTGGACCCTTCGCCGGGCCCAGGCGGTTCCTGGACAAGGCACGTGGGGCTCTGGCCTGGATCTGGGAGGCTGGAAGGGAAGGCGGGGGACGGGGTGCACGGGACCTGCTTTGTTGGGGGGATCCACTCATCCCCCCACACAGGTTGGAAAGACCAGAACACGTCATACACGTCTACCAGACCAGAAGCACTGACCCCAAAGGCCTCCCTGGCGGCAGGAGAGGAACCTCCCGGGCCACGGGACAGAGAGAGCCTGCGCTGGGCTGCGCTGCCACCCGCCCACGAGAGGACCCACAGGGCGCTTTGCATAGATACAGAGTCGGAGGCGCGGCCTGGCCCGCCGGGGAGGGCGGGGCTCGAGGCCGTGAGGAGGGCGCGGTCCGGCTCGCGAGGCCTCACAGGTCGCTCTCGCCGTACAGGGCCGTGGAGAAGGACTTGTAGTCGAGGGCGCCGGGCACGGCGTCGGGGCCCTGGTACGGCGCCATGCGGGCGATGCAGTACTCGGCCTGGTCCGGGGGCAGCTCTCTGCGCAGCTCCTCGGCCGTGATGAAGTTCTGGGGGCGGCAGGCAGGACTCTGAGCCGCCCCGGCCCGCCAGCCCCCCGCCCGTCCTGTGCAGGGACCCCCCCCCCAACTGGCCCGTGTGCCTTGGCGGGTCTGGCTCACCTTGTCCCCCGCCAGGACCTTGAAGGAGGCGATGACCTGGTCGGCTGTGTCCGTGTCGGTGGTCTCCCGAGACATGAAGTCGATGAAGGCTTGGAAGGTCACAAGGCCGCTGTGGTTGGGGTCGACCACGCTCATGATGCGGTTGAACTCGGCGTCGCCCTGCGAGGCGGGGGGACAGCGTTGGGCAGGGCAGGGACGGCCAGGCCGCAGGGCCGAGTCTCACAGCAGAGCAGCCAGGAGAGCCTGTGTCGCCGGCCCACCTCCAGTGGCCTTGGCCTCGGGCAGAGCCTGCGCTGCACTGGCTACCCCAGGCCCCTCTGCATCCTGCCCGGTGGGGAGTTGGGGTCACCACCCCTGAGTCCAGGCTTAGCGCCGGGGGGAGGGGAAGAGAGAGAGAGAGGGGAAAAGAAAGAAGAGGGGCAGAGTGCAAGAGGGCTGTCCCCTCTCTGGAGCCCTCTAGGGAAGGAAGAGGGGCTCCAGGAGTCATGGGGGACCCCAGCCCGGCAGGTGCAGCAGAGGAGGAGGAGGGCAAGGCCGCGCTGTGGGGGGAGGAGTGTCCCGGAGGACGTGGGAGCTCTGGAGGCGTGAGGGGGGAGGAGGAGGAGGAAGGGCGAGGAAGAAAGGAGGAGTGGTTGGAGCGGCGGGGAGGCAGAGGCGGCATACCAGGCTGTATCCTGTGGAGATAAGCAGAGCCCTGAAGTCATCGGAGTCCATGCTGCCTGTCTGCTTCTGCTCCCAGGACGCAGCATAGCAGAGGAGGCCGGGCCCAGAGCAGGCAAGAGGGGCCGCCCCATGTGCACAGCAGGAAGACAGGACAGTGGCAGGGAGCGGGGAAGACAGAGGCCCCGAGAGACCAGGTAAGGGGGAAGGTGTCCAGAGAGACACGGCAGGGAGGAGGCAAGAGAGCCGTGGAGTGGCACACACGATGGCGGGGGTGGACAGGCGAGAGGGAGGAGGGGAGAGAGAGAGAGAAGAGCAGTTAATGCAGAGTCCGCTGGGGCCCAGGGGTGCGCGTACCTGCCGGTCGTTCTCCACGTCGTAGCCCAGGCTGATGAGGCAGGCCTTGAACTCCTCGGGCCCCAGCGCCCCGCCATGGTCCTGCCGGGCCATCCGCAGGCGGGTGTGCGGGAGGGGAGGTGTGGAGACCAGGACGAGGGGCCGGGGCCACATGCAGAGGGCGGGGGGAGGGAACACGAGGGGGAAACACAAGAGTTAGAGGCGACGTGGACAAGGTGATGATCGGGACAGAGGGGGCAGGGGAGGTGCAGACCCTTTCATCCCCGCCTCTGGCTGGCAGGGGCCTCCCGCACCAGGACTTGTGGGAGGGGGCGAGGGACTCTTTCTTTGGGGTACGAGAGGGGACCTCGGGGCTGGCTGACCGTGCAGAGCTGAGGCTGCGCACTCCTGCCTACCAAAGCCAGGCGCCACGACAGCCCAGCGGGGCCGGGGCAAACCCTGGCGCCCAGGGCCCTCTAAAGCGGCTGCCAGACTAAATCTGAGCGTTAAAACTGTGTGTGGACCAGGTTCGCCAGCCAGGGCCCAAATCCCAGGGTGCTGGACCCAGTTTCAGGGTGTCCCTGGCAGGCAAGGACGCGGCCCTGGGGGCAGGACCTGGGGCCGAGGTGCCACACGGCCGCTCACCAACTGCGACAGGACAAACCAACAGATGCAGAGACAGGGGAGCACTGGGACGGTGGCGGTGGGGAGGGCAGACGCCAGAGCAGCACACGGAGCCGCTCACCTTGTCGAAGTGGTTGAAGGACGCCCGGAACTCCTGCATCTGCTCCTGGCTGATGCCCTTGGCGTCCCGCGTGAGGATCTGGTTCTCCACCTCGTTGATGGTGCGGGCGATGGTGGTGAGCAGCTGCTCCCAGCCCACGCGGATGTGCTGGGGGAGGACGGGGGCGTGAGCGTGGGGGTGCGGGGGCAGAGGGGACCCGAGGCAGGCCTGCTCTGAGGACCCTCTTCCCAGGGCCACTACAGCCCCTCCCCCCATCTGCAGGTGGGGACACAGGGCCCTGGGGGCCGCTGCAGCCTGCTTCCCAGTGATGGCGGCGCATCAGGGGGACACGGACCCAAGATGCTTGTCCCGGGATCCACGTGGGACCTTTTTAGAGGCGTGTTGCTCAGTGTTTAGCAACTGGCCTTCTGGGGGAAGAAACAGAACACGAGCTCTGGCCTGCGGGTTTGCACGGCGCGACACTCGTTCAAGCTACCACTGTGATCCCGGCTCGAGAGACCCCGGGCACGTTAGCCCTTGGCGAGCTGGGCCTCAAGCGAGGTTGTCACTGCTAAGCCCAGTCCCCTTTCCCTAGTAACGTCCCCCTGTAAGCTTGTCCTAAAGTGGGCAATGCTAGGAAAACCTGGTTTTCAAAACTGCGGAAACATTCTGGTCTAGTCTTTTTGATCATTTCAAACAAAAGCTTAAAAAGAAAGATGGATGGCCAGCGTGGTGACTCCTGCCTGTAATTCCAGCACTTTGGGAAGCTGAGGCAGAAAGAGCGCTGAGGCCCGGAGCCCGAGCCCGGCGGGCGGCGCAGGGAGACGGGGCGGCCCACCTCCATGGTGTAGTTGGTGTGCTTGTTGTCGAAGATGAGCGCCTCCTGGATGAGCTGGTGCTGCTGCTCCAGCAGGTCCAGGTTGGGCTTGTAGTCCACGATGCTGCGCTCGTACTGCTTCAGGTGGCTCAGCTGGTCCTCCAGCGTCCCGTTCATCTCGATAGAGATGCGCCCGATCTCCTAGAGAGCAAGCGCGGGTGCCCGCGGGCAGGGTGAGGCTGGGGACCCTCTGCCCCCCGTCCCGTCCTGCCCTCTCGTGTGAAAGCAGCCAGGACGGGGCATCTTTCTGTGCCGAGAGCTCCACACGGCCAGCCTCACTGTGCCAGGCCCTGATTGCAGATGTGAAAACTGAGGCTCAAGGAGGGCAACTGATCCCAGTAAGGGACAGCGTCAGGATTTGAACCCAGGCCTGGCCAACCTCACGCCCCGCAGGTCCTCAGTTCCCAGTGGCTGCACACACGGTGGAGCTAGCACTGAACCCTGAGGCTGGCCCGCATGGCACCTACAGTCTCCCTCGTGGGCTTGAGGTTACACAGGCATGCAAGTCTGTGCAGACTCAGAATTGCGGCCAGGGCTGCTGTTGGCCACATCACAAGCCCTCCTGTGGCTGGGGCACGAGGGGCCGCATGAGTGCACTAAGGGCATCCAAACTTGGCCATCCTGTTCACGGTCACGGGTACACAGCGGCACTCACGACAGGGCCGGCACAGAGCAGCATGTATTGAGGGAATAAAGTAACTATTTTCATCCCCATTTTAGAGGCGAGAAAACTGTGCGTCAGGTTACACCATGCCTGAGGCCTACGGTCATCAGCCCAGGGCCGAGTCGGGCTCAGCATGTCCATCTGGCTCTTCAGCCAAGTTTCTCTCTGGCACTGTCACTTTCATCAATATGATCTCGCCGACCCTCCTAACCACTCAAGGCCCCCAGCCAGTGAGAGTGGCCCTGGGCCCGCAGAGCTGGGCTGGGCGCCTCACCTCCATCTTGGTCTGGATCCAGGGCCCCACGACGTTGGCCTGGCTGGAGAACTGGCGGCGGAGGTGCTCGTTCGACTGCTGCTTGCTCTGCTCCTCCAGGAGGGCGTGGTCCCGCTTTGGCACCAGCTGCTGCACCTGGTGGGGGCGGGACGCAGAGCACTGGCGGTCAGGGGGCAGCCCCCCCAGCCCGGCCACCCCTCCCCCAGCGCCTGCCGACGGCCCCGCCCACCTTCTCCCACTTGGAGTTGATGATCTGGGGGGTCACGGTGGTGTAGGGGTTGCTGCCCGACAGCTTGATGTGGTTGCTCTCGGCGATCCTCTGGGCCTCCTTGTGGATGGCCAGGATGGCCTCCCGCTCCCGGTCGGCGTCCGGCAGGGTCGACTTGAACTGGTCGTGCGCCGAGATCAGGCCCTGGGGGGAGAGCGGGAGTGAGGGAGCAGCCCCACCCCACAGAGGCCCCTGAAGGTGCGGGGGAGGAGGGGACACGGACCTCGATCTCCTCGATGGTGTGGACGATGAACATGTCCTGGAGGTCCTCCATGGCGCTCTCCATCCAGTTGTTGAAGGGCGCTGCCCGCTTGGCGTACTCCAGGTGCAGCTGGTCGATGGTCTCCAGCTGCTTCTCCGTTTTCTGGAGTGTCGGAGCAAGCGGGAGGGGTTAGGGACGGGGGTCCATGGAAACCCACGGATCTGGGCACAGTCCACACCCCCGCCAGCCCTGGGGGGGGCACAGGGCTCCATGGGCGATGTCACCCCCTCCTCACCTCCAGGGCTTCCCTGCGACTGTGGGTCAGAGAGCCGAGGGCGTCCCACTGGTCGCAGATCTTCTGGCACCGGGTGTTGACGTTGTGGGAGTCATAGTAATCCAGCTCGCTGTGGGCCGCAGGCAGCAGTGAGACCCGGCAGGGCAGGTGGGGTGCCCCCGGGGTGGCCAGGCCCAGGTGCCAGCCAACGTCCCAGGGTATCAGTAACCAACCGCCCCTCTGCTCTGGCCCCTGGCACCCCCAGGGCAGGAGGGAAGGGGGCATAACAGAGGGCCGGGGCCGCGTCCTGCCTGCTCTCTTCCTGCCTCACTCTGCCACCACAAGCCACCCAGGGCAGCCTCCAGAGTGAGTGCAGCCCTTCAATCAGGCCTGGGACCTAGATTGCTTTTTTAATTTAGAGCACGTCTAGCAGAGTGCAGTGGTTAAAACAATGGGCTCTGGAGGCAAATTCCCTAGGTGTGGATTCTGGCTGTAAGATTTATTATTTGTGGGACGTTGGCCAAGTACATTCCCTACTATGGATGCCGCACTTTTCTCATCTGTGAAATGGGAGTGGGGATCTAACCAATTAATGCAAGTAAAGTTCTTAGGTGGATGCTAAGTAAAAGTAGCAAATGCTATTTATTAAAGGTTTTATTTTAATGGGCACTAAGAATAAAATTCATAGCCTACAATCTCATTCTAAGCAACTAATCACATTTTTAAAAAAATGTGAGTTGGCTTAAAAGGGCAAATACATAGTGGTACAGGGAGCCTCTGAGTGACAGTGGTCTGGGAAACGCAGGGCTGGCGCACGCTGCTGCCCCCGCCCCGGCACGCTCCTGCCCGCCACTTGCACCTACTCGGCCAGGATCCCAGTGAGTCAGTGTACACTGGGGGACCTTGGGGAGCAACTGTGGGAGGAATAGGACATGGAGACTAGGCGAGCCAGCCACAGGGGGGCGGCGGGACGTGGGCAGGGGAGGGGAGGGGAGGCCATGTTCTGCACTGGGGCTGGGCACCCTGGGGCCCATTCCTGTCTGCCCACTCCCTAGCTGTGTGGCCCGGGGCAAGCCCGTTGGCCTCTCTGGGCCTCCGTGGCCCCTCTGTACCACGGGGTTGCTGGGGGGATTACATGAGCTGGTACACACAGCGCAGAGAGCCCGGTGAGCTGCTGCTGTTGCCATCAATCAACGCCCAGCAGGGCTCTTGTCCAGCTCATTGGGACAGTCCACCACCCTAACTCAGCCTCGACAGAAGGGACAGCACCCCACCAGCCCTCCGTTTCTCTCCTGCAGGGCTCTGTCCAGAAAGCTGCTTCAGGGTCACCTGGCTTAGGGTAATGGGCTTCACGGGGACGTCACCTGGTGCCTGAAAAGTGGGCCGGCCAGCTGGGGTTCACCCCAAGTCTGTTTCCTACCAGCTTCAGGGGCTCCCCAAGTCAGCTCAGGAACCTGCCCACGTGCCACCACCACAACCCCCGGGAGTGGCTGCACCTGGGGCCTTGCTCTCCTGGCTGCAGAACCCCCAGGGGTGCCCCAACTGTGCCAAATAGGGGTGACGTGGTTCCCAGTGCTGTGAAGGCCCCACAGTACTTCAACCTCTGGGTGAGCAAACGGTGAACCCTCAAAGCACCGGGCAGCGGGGAGGGAGGGAGTCGGGGAGGAAACCGGCCCTGCCCAGTGTGGGGCTCCTCTGGCCACACTGCTGGGCCCCAGGCCAGTAGGAAGAAGCAGAACTTAAGGGGTGAATGTGGCAGGGCGGGGGTGTCTGTGGAAAGGGCAGCTTCAGCCAAGGATTCTATTTTTGTGCAGGCGGCTATTTTGGGAGCCCTGATGCCCCTCCAGGGCCTGTGGGTTTTCCATGAAGTAATGGTCTGGCCTCCCGCTGCCTGGGCCCTCCCTGTTGCTGGCTGCCGGCTGGTGGACTGAGGCCCCATTCACGGGCTCCAGGGGCTCGGTGTACTAACTGTGCACACAGTTTATCTGACTGGGGCGGGCAAGGGAGGGGAGGGAACCCGGCTGCCTGCAAGGCCTACAGTAAGTGCATTCTGAGCGAGAGAGGACAGGGGCTGGGCAGAACAATGGGCTCACTGTGTAACCCAGTTCCCTCTGCAAGCAGCGGCCAGGAACCACTAGTCCAGTGGCCTGCCCCCTCAGGGGGCGAGGGGCTGGCTTGGTGTGACAGGCAGGGAAGGTGGTGCCCCAGGGACCCCTAAAGCCTAAGAATCAAGATAAGGGGCCAGAGACCTTCCTTCAGCTAGAAAATCTAGATCCCTTGTTTCTCGGCCAGGGTTGAGACAGGATGGGCAAAGACATCAACCCATAAGGCTCCTCCCTGGAATCTGATAGGAGCCGAAGGAGGAGGGCTGGGGACCCTGTTCCAGGCCTCGAGGCAGGCTGGGCCTTGGGAGGCTGCCGCACCACTCTGGGCAGGGTGCAGAGGGGAGTAAGCGACCGAGCGTCACGAGCCCACACGTACTTGAGCTCCTGGGCAATCGCTGCGATCTGCTCCACGCGGTCCTGGTGTGCGGCCAGGTCACTCTCGAAGGCCTCGTGCTTGCGGATGAGGGCTTTGATGTCCGACAGGGTGGCTGTCTCGTAGTCCCGGTGCTTCAGCATGGCTTCCTTCCCTGGGGTGGGGCAGAGAGTCACTTAGCAGCGCAGCGCCCCTGGGCCGGCAGCCTGGAGGGGCTGTCTGACCAGAGCGAGGGGCGGGGGGACTATGGATCCACATCCTTCCACACCAAGGATCCCACGAAGGCTAGAAACTTCCAGAAGCATCTTCCTTGCCCTCCAGGGATCTCTAAGCCCAACTATATCCTGGGAGTCCCTGGGAGACACTTCGAGGTTGGTGGGCCTGAGACAGATATCCCATCTCAACCTGTGTGCTCAAAACTTAGCATCCTTTCCTGGTCAGGGACTATAAAAATCGGATTGTGACCAAGAGAGGCGCCAGGGGTCACAGCCCATACCCCGGCGGGCTCAGGGAAGGGGGAGTGTTGGAGCCGGGGTTCTTCCAGAAGCCCAACCTCTGCGCCTGCACCCCGGCTCTATGGATTTGGGTCCCATGTGGGCACGCAGACGTGTGGGCCCATCACACATCTACGTGCTCCATGCTGCTCTTAGGCTTCTTATGTGCAGTGGGGCAGGGCCCTCCATCAGGCCTTTGAAGGGAGAGAGGAACGCTGTCATTAGTCCTGGAGCCTGGCTAATTACACAGCCCAGAACAAAAGCTCAAACAAGCCCTGCAAGCAAGTTACGGTCTTACAGAAAACTGAGGGGAAAGCGCCAACCTGGGAAGGTGGCTGGCACCCCCAGCTCCAAAAGGGGCCATGCTTCAGGGAAGCCACCTCAGTCTCCCCCTGGAGTGGTGGCTCAGAGATGACCCTCAGCCGAGCACCCGACAGCCAAACAGCTGCCCGTGCGGCGGGGCGGCAAGGCGCTCCGGGGCCCACTCCTGCACCTGTGAGGCGGGCCACCACCAGCCTGTGCTGCATGGGACTGTTCCGAACTTTCAGCGAGAGGATGTTCGAGAACAGCAAGCACAAAACCAGGACCATCCTCATCGCAGCCTCTCACGGGGTCATCTGTCTGGCAACTACCAGCCACCGCTAGGACAGGGACTGGCAGGCGAGATGGCAGCCTGGGAGACTCGGGCTCCACTGGCCCCGGGGCAGGACGCTTAACCACAAAGGCCAGTTTGCAATTCCCTCCTCCAAATTGCTTTCGCCCAAGGGTGGGAGCCAGAAATAGTAGGTTACGACTCTCGGCCGCAGCAGTTTCGGCAAGGCGGCAGGCAGGGGTGTGCTGGGAGGACTCGGAGGAGGGGCCACGGCCATAGTTGCCTGGGACACAGGCCAAGGGGCAGCCACAGAAGGGACAGGGGGCCTGCTGGCTTTTGGTTGTTTCCCCAGGAAACCCAAGTCCCTCGCCCCTGCGGGCCATGCGGATGATGAGGGGGACAGAGAGTGATGGCAGCTCAACCCAGAACTGAGCCCCTCCCCCACAGCTGAGGAGGCTGCCAAGACCAGATCCCAGGGGTGCAGAGGGGGCGGGAGGCCAGCCTCTAGTTTCACATAATTGGTGGTTCAGCCGACAGAGGTTCGGGTCTTGGGAGTGAGAGTGGGCAGGGCCAGGTGCCAGATGCCTGCAGGGGTAGGGCAGGGATGTGTGGAGGCCGATGAACCAGTTGGACCTTGATCTGAAAGTCGACTTCTAAAGGCCTCAGGTGAAGGCCAGCCCTGGGGTCATTCCCAGGGAGGGGCCCTCCTGGGCCACCAAACCCACAGCCCTCTGCCTCTGGACAGCTTCTTCCCAGGGCCTCGTGGAGCCCCAGGCAAGGGGCTGAAGAGCTGCAGGCATGGGCAGAACTGTCTCAGAAGGGAAATCACAGGGACGAGCCTCCTCGGAGAGGCGGAGAAGCAGCACATGCGTGATACAGCCGGAGACACCTTGGTCTGAGCGTGGGACACGGGTGCTACGAAGCCCACTTACGTGCCCAAGGGCTCTCTGATAAGGAAAATGTGAAAACCTGCTGGCCTGGGAGATCCTGGGCAGGGACCTCACCCGCCTAGGATCTACTGTGCACGGGGCCAGGTGTAGGAAAAAGGCTCAAAAGACACCTGCTGAATGAATGCACTAAACGCTACCCCTCCCTGCCAAGACAGCATCACGGCCAGCGCCCCTCCTCGCATGGGCGCCGTTCTTCTGCAGGGCAGGAGGGAGGCACCCACATCCCAGGCCCCACCTGGCTCCTGCTGGCCTCTCCCGGCGGGAAGGGGTGAGGGCACTGCTCCGGACCTGGCAGTGGCTGCGGAAAAGCAGCCAGGCTGAGCTCATGGGAGGAGGGCACCAGCTGGGCCACAGCCAGGGACACAGGGTGAGGGGGGCCGGGCCTGCAGATCATGTGGAGCTGCACGCTCACATGGCAGGGGTGGGAGGGCCATAGAGGGGTGCCCCTGGGTGGGGGTCTCAGCATCTGGCCAGAGCTGGGGTTGCCTGCCCAAACGGTGGAGAGGCTGGGGGCTGGAGGAAGCCCCAGAAGCTCTGTGGGGACTGTGACTCAGCTGGGCAGAGTGGTGGCAGGGGGGCAACAGAGTTGGGAGGGAGGTGGCCAGAACAGGAGGGAGGGAGGGAGGGAGCGCTATGGGTGGCTCTTTCGGCTTTCCCAGGCAGTGCCAGTTTTCTGAAGGCTTTCGGGCTCCTGGGATCTGGAATCTCAACCATGGTGTGGGACCAACTGAGGGCCAGGGACGTGCTGGAATGCTACATCCTGAGCCAAAGGGACAGGCCGCTGCAGCTGCCAAGAAACAGGAGGTGCTGCGGCCCTTCTGGGAGAAGCCTCCTGCAGGGGGAGCCAGGCACCTTGGAAGGGGCTCTGGGATGGGGAGGGCAGGAGGAGGGGCTTCCAGCATGGGCCATGCGACAGCTGGGGGGCAGGCAGCCGGTGCGCCTGTCTGGGTCAAGCCACAGAGAGGAGGCGGTGCCCGGGCCTTGCCTCTGATGAACGTGCTGGTGAACCCAGATCCATCCAGCACCAGCTCTGCGGTGTGGGGGCCACGGTCACAGAAGGTGTGGGGGAGGGGAGGCACGGTGGACACGGGCTGCCAGCAATGGGAGAGCCCTGCCCCACACAACTGCCCTGAACAAGGAGGGACACCGTCCTCTGTCCCTGGATGGCTGAGCTTTGACGACCAGGATGACCCGCAGGGGCCCACATGGCCGCCTGCGGCTGGATGGGCCCAGAGCAGTGTTTCTGACATGCAGGTCCCCAAGCAGCAGCAAAGGGGCCGACACACAGACCTGACGCGGGAGGGGTTGCCTGTGTGCGTGTCGGGAAGAGGGAGCCGCGGGGACCGTACCGTCCGTCCAGGCCTCGTGGATGGAGGCCTTCTGCCGGAACTTCTCTGCCAGGTGGTCCAGCCGCTCCAGCCTGCGGATCTCATTCAGTAGCCACTCCTCGTAGCCCTTCTCGGCCTGCTCCAGGTGCTGCCAGCCGTTGTTGATGTCCTGGGGGGGCAGGAGAGGGCAGGGCTGTCACAGAAGCGTGGGGCCCCAGCAGGAGGAGGCCTCCCTGAGGGATGCTGATGGAAAGTCAGCAGAAATGGGCTAGGAGCTGGGCGCGGCGGGGCACGCCTATCGTCCCAGCTACTTGGGAGGCTGAGCTGGGAGGATCACTTGAGCCCAGGAGCTCAAGTCCAGTCTGGGCAACACAGCCAGACCATCTGTATTTAAAACAAACAAGCAGACAAAAAACCCGCCCGCACATATACACAAATGGGCTGGGTCACGGCTGTGCCCTGCTTTGCTATATATGGATGCCTAAACAGGACACAACAGGTACAATCAACTCTTTAGGAGTAAATGGATGAGCGTGTGACCAGGGGAATGAATGAATGAACACGTGCCACGAATGGGGCTGTGTGCGCCAGAAGGTGAGAGTCAGGCGATCCCGGAGACCCGGCAGACTGGGGTCCAGAATAAAACAGTTCCACACAGACCGTGGTGTGGTAAAGGGGTGGGTATAAAACTCTGGGTGTAAGACAGGGAGTAATGGGCAAGGGGAGTGTGGCAATGTGTACGTATACCCTCCCCCACCCACGCACCCTAAAGGCTGCGTATCCCCGTTAGGAAAGACCACAGTGGGCAAGCAGCGAGCCTGCAGGCGGTTCTGGAACTGCCTCTGCCCCTCCCGGCTTCCCCCGCACCCCGGGACGCTGGCCGGCCCGGCCCCGAGCCCGCGCTCACCGAGACCATCCTGCCCTCGGAGGGCATGAAGGCGGGCCGGTTGCTGAGGCGCAGCTTGGTCTGCAGCGTGTTGAAGTTGATCTCCAGCTGGCACTTCTCCTGCACCTTGGGCGGCTTGTGGACGCGCCGGTAGTCGCGGAAGTCCTCCAGCTTCTGCTGCATCTCCGTGATGGTCTTCTGCGGCACGCGGTCCTCCAGCCAGGGGATGGTGCGCCGGATCCACTCCAGGAGCTGCGGGCCGTGAGAAGCTGTGGCGGCCTTGCGGGGACCCCGAGTGCTGACAGGGCCACCCCTAAGCTTACGCGGGCTCTGATCTTGTTCAAGGACCCTGTCTCGGGGTCATCCCTGCTCCCTAGCCCGACTTCTCCGTGACTCCTGTTGGAACCCCACAGAGACTGGAATTCTGGGAACGTGCCCCCTCCCGCTGTGCTGTCCTCTGGCTACTTCCTGTCCATGCCCTTGCTCTTGGTCTTCCTCTTCCTCAGATCTGGGCAGGGCAGCCGCCACTCACACGCCCCTCCTCAGAGGGCCCCCCTCTTCCCTGAGCTCCGCGCTGTCTGAAAACCTCACTGCTTCCTGGCTCCCTGACTCAGAGCCTCACGGGCAGGGGCCGACAGGCACGCCACCCCCTCATGTGGGGGTGGCCAGCGCATGCACAGGGCCTGGGACACAAATGAGAAAATAAGATTGAAAAACAAAGGAAGATGTACTTTTAGGAGCTACTCAGATCTTGGATGGGGTAAGGAAGGGCACGAACATGAGGACATTCTAAAGCAATTCCACAGGGGTAAAATCGGTCATTTTCTAGCATAGACATGCTTGAGAAGCGGCCCCCAAATGCCAACTTCTGGCAAAGTGAGAAAACCAAGGACAAAAGTATTCATATGCACATACATCTTGATGCATGGTGCTAATTACCCCTTCTTGGCAATGGCTGGAGTTCTAAGAATATAACCTCTTTACCTTGTCTTGGTGTTAGAAATGGCGGAGGTAACAGATGGTTGTGTTCTCTTTTTAAAATATCCTTGACTTGGCAAAATAAAAAGTTGGCCACCCCAGGTTGGCTAAATACTTTTGCAAATTTTCCTGGTCCATGAAATCTCAAAGTCTGGGAACCACTGGTTCTAGAAGAGCAGTCAAATGACTGCTCTTTGCGAGCTTAAATTGTTTTTATTTTTTAATTATGGAGATTTTAAAAACAAAGAAGAGAATCCAGAAGACATGTACTAACCGCCCACATTCCCGACTGAAACGGTGGTCCAGGCTCTATAGCGGGGCTGCCTGGGTTTGAGCCCCAGCTCTCTGGCCCACCAGCTACGTAGTGAGCCTGAGCCTCTCTGGGCCTCAGTTTCCTCCCTTGGGAAGGAGGGGCTGCCATGGAGACTGAGCTGATCCTGACAGGAAGTGCTTGCGTGTGGGGCTTGCCACTGTTTCTGTCCTCGGGTCCCTCTCTACCTTACTGAACTAGTCTCTCCAGGAATCAGGGATGGGAACAGCTCTTTTAAAAAGCTCCCCGGGTGATTCTAAAGCGATGAAGTATCCAGGAAACTCCATCCCTGAGCACCTCCAGGAGCCCAGGCTTAGGACCACGGGAGCCAGCTGGCATGGAGACCCCCAGTCTGACCCTCATGAAACCAAACTGAAAGGTCACATACTGGCTGAGTCTGTAACCTTCTGGCCTCTTCTAGGAGCTAAGGACCAGGCCCTGCTTTTCCCCTGCAAGTGTCACACCACTCCTTTGGTCAAGGTAACAAGAGGTGACCCCATCTTTCGGGTGTGGCGGGGCCACCAGGCGGGGGGCAGGCGGCACACTCACATCGCTGGCCAGCTTCTCGTAATCTTCCATCAGGTGCTCATTCTCCTGGTTGACGGCCAGCACCTTGCAGATGCGGTTGGCGGCAGTCTCGGCCTGGGGCGGGGGAAGCGCACAGTCAGGGCTGCCTGGGGGCTGGCGACCCTCCCTCCTGACGGGCACGTCCCTGGAAAGCAGCTGGTCCGTGGCCCACACAGAACTCGCAGAGGAGGGAAGAGGAGGAAGCACACCAGCGAGACGGGGCCCAGAGTGGCCACGTCCTGACAGCTCACCGCAAAACGCCCCCAGCCCAGAGAGCCCGGCTATCGGCTCTCTTGGCCCAGACCCTGGAGGCCCCGAGGAGGGTGGGGGGCCTCCCCCTCTGCTAGCAAGCCTTCTAGCGCCCTGCATGGAGGAGGCCGGGTGAGGCCATCCGTACTGGGCCTCAGACCCTGAAAGCGTCCCCCCTGGGTAGAAGAAAGACTAAGAAAGGCCAAGAGCTGGAGAGCTGGGGGGCAGCAGAGTGGGGGCCAGTGCCCCCAGAGGAGCTGGTGGTCAGAGTGCAGGAGAACATGCTCGGCCCTTCCTTCTCCTGCCTCGGAGGTGGGTATTAAGAGGAGCCCATGTGGGCAGGAGGGGGCCAGGGCTTTGGAGAGCAGGGCGTGGTGGAGACAGGCCCTGGCCCGGAACTCCAGGAGAGACCTGGCGTGTCCTGCCGGGGGGCAGTGTAGGCGTGGAGGAGGACGGGAGGGGCCACACGGGGAGAGGAGAGAGACCAGGTACCTTTCAGGAAGCACAGAAAGGGTCCAAGAGGAGGAGTTGAAACAGCAACAGAACAGGAACAGAAATAGTGAGGAGGGTCTACAGAGTGATGGGGAAGGAAAACGGAGAGGCTTGGGAGGCGGCTCCGACGCCGGCCTCTCCCGTCCACACAGCACACCCGCAGACAGGCGGGGAGGCGGGGGCAGCTGGGGTCTGCGTGAGCGCACGCATGCACACGCACACGCCCTGTCTCAGGCGGCGGGACACACACCAAGGGCCCCAGGCAGTGCTCCTCAGAGGTGAGGCTCAGGAGGTTCCTCGGCCCATGAACACCAGCCCCAAACCAGTGCGCATGACACAGCCAGGGGTGCAGCTTGTGGGGGAGCCACGCGGGTCAGTCCTGACCCCTGACATGGCAGAGGCAACTGGCACCCAGAGCTCAAATCCTGGGTGCCACCACGGGGCTGCTGGTCAGGGGTGTCTGGTTCCCCTGCTGCGTTCCCAGCATCTTGCTCAGGGCTGTGTTTTAGGTGCTCAGGGCTGACGAATGAATGGGAGAATGAAAGAACAAGGAGGGAATGCTTCAGTGACCAAGAATAAACTGTCGGGACAGAATGGGCAGACTCGGGGCGAGGCCTGGGGTTTGCCCTGCGCTTGTAAAACAGAACAAAGCCCAGAGAGCGCTCTTTCAAGGGACTGGAATGCATCTCTGGGGAAACAGAGCAGTAAAAGCGTCACAAGGCTGTCCTGAGCAGTGAACGCAGGCTTGGGCCTGGGGAAGCTGCGTTCGTAGCTGGAGAAGCCTGAATCTAGCACTTTCCACGGTGAACGGGCCAGCTCCCCACAGCCTGGCCTTTATTTCCTCCCCAACAAGAGGGGCCAACAACAAGCCCTCTGACCTGGCCACCTCGAACACCTGCAATGCCGTGACTGGGCTGCACAGTCCCCCCGGCCCGCCTGGCCCGCCCGCCCCAACGCCATGCTGGAGTTCGGCTCAAGCGTGGAGGAGCAGATCGGGGAGAAGTGGAGACAATCAAGCGAGGGCAGTGTAGGGGGCAGGGAGGCTGGCTCGGGCCCACAGGGCAAATGTGGTTGGGGCTCGTGGTGAGGAAGCTTCCACCACTGTCCATCCCCACCCTGCTGGGGTTGGGTCGGGGGTCCTCCCTCCACCTTCCCTGTGTCCCCAGCAGAAGGCTCCAAACACGAGTTCCCACACATGCTGGCTGGGAGGTGAAGAGGCGATCAAACTTCTCTGTCTGTGCTGGAAGGAACCACCCTCCCCCGGGTACTAGTGTGACACCCATTTCACAGATGGGGAAACTGAGGTTAAGTGGCTCATCCACGGTCACACTGCTGAGAGGTGGCAGAGCGGGGCCGGGACAGACTGCCCATGGGTACCACATCTGCTGGCCGTGGGGCCTAGGAAGGTGGTCTACGGAGGTACAGCCCCGTCCTATGACTTCAGAAAGGCACAAAGAGCCGTTCCTAAACTTCAATTTCTCCCGTTTGAAATGAGGTTAGGTGCACCTAGCCCCCCCCCGGGGCACCTACAGAGACTCTCTCAGAGTCTGCGCATGTCAAGTCCCTAGAGAGTGCCTAGCACGTAGTAAGTGCTCAATCAACAACAACCGACTCCTTCTCCTCCTCCTCCTCCTCTTGGCACGCCTGCCAACTGCTAATGCAAAACCGAGGCACTGGGAGCACTGCCCACGCCACTGCAGAGACCGGCAGGTGGACAGAGGGAACAGAGGGGCCAGGCCTCCACGCAGAAGCTGGGGCCCGACAGAGGCCGTGGCGGGGCATGAGGTCAGCCGGGCTCGGGTAGAGCTGCCGCTGGGAACCAACGCTTCTGACTGCTCTGCCTGCTTCTGGAGGGACGGGTCACAGCACAGCCCCAAGACGTGGTCGGGCTGTCATGCTGAGCCCTTCCTGGCAGTCTGGGAGGGGAAGGAGCCGCAGAGGAGGAGCAGAAAGCCCGGGGCTCCCCGGTGACAGGGCACAGCAGGCAGCCCTGCAGCAGCTCATGGAGAAGGGGACGGGACAGCCCAGGGGTCACCCCCAGCTCTGCCATTTGCCAAGATGCTGGGCTTCAGGTCCTTGCCCGAGAGTCTGGGACGCCTCCCCCCCACCTCCCAGGGTGGGCTGCGGTCAGAGGACACCTGTGGACCCCCGGCACGGGTCCGGCACTAGCCGGACGGCAGGAGGTGCTGGAGGCCCCATAGTCACAGGAAACCTGCCCTAGGTGGCCTTTCCAAGTGAGAACCCAGCAGGGTCGGTCCTCATGGCTCGGTGGCCTACGGCCTGGCCAGGGCTCCACCCACAGACAGACGGTGGTGACACAGGGTGACAGTGAAGGCAAGTCCGAAGCCACAGCAGCAAGGGTGCGCCCGCCCCAGCTCACCTTCTGAGCCCCCGAGAAAGCGTGGTAGAAGCAGGACACGTAAGTCATGATGGCCTTCTCATCTGGCCTCAGAGTGCCCACAATATCTGCACAGAGAGAGAGAAAGAGAGAGAGAGAGGCAGGAGAGAGTGAAAGATGCAGGGAGGGCGGCCAGCCGGCCCGAGGCTCATGCGGGAGGAATAGCGCTTGCTCTGGACTGGAAGCCAGACCCCGGCTGAGGCCTGCGTGGGCACGTCCTGTGCGGTTTTGTATCCAAATGAGGTATGTTCCTTTCCTAACCAGCCTGGGTTGTGACAGAGTAGCCATGGGCTCTATAAAGCAAGCTCTGTTTGGGGCACTTCAGTAGGACTGTGTCATGTATGACCGCCTACCACCCTTGTGCAAGACCCCTGACGGTCTCCTGTGGCCCTCAGAAGAAAACGCAGACTCCTCATCCCAGACCACAGTGGTCTTACAAGGCCTGTCCCTGTCACTGCCTTTCACTCCCTCTGCTCACTCACTTCTCTCCAGCCACTCCTTGAATAAGCCAAGCTTATTCCTGCCCCAGGGCCTTTGCACTTGCTTTATCCTCTCTCTGCCTGGAATGCCTTTGCCTCAGGTCCTGCTCACCGCTCCAAGTCCCTGTTCCTGTCACCCTTCCCTGGTGAAGGCTCCAACTGAAAGTGACCCCCTGCCATCTCTCTCCTCGCATCCTAGACCACCATTGCTCTCTATTCTGCTGCTTGCCACATGAAATGACTTTATCTGCTGAGGTGCTTGTTGCCTGTCTCACCCACTAGCACGCAAGATCCCTGAGGACAAGGACCTTGCTGGCCACAAGGGCACTACTGTGTCCTGTGCCTGGAACAAAGCCTGGCACAGCCTTGGCACTCAACAGACACTGTGAGCAAGGACTGCTCAGGCAGCCATGCTGAAGAGCTGGGGGTGGCTTCCAGTCGGAGAGAGGCCACGGCCGTCTGCAAGAGAAACGAGGTGAGCATGGGAGGCAAGAGGCAGCAGCGGCATTGGGCAGTGGCGGCGCGGAGGGCCCGCCTGGCCCTGCCCGGTACCTTCTGCGCTCCTGAGAAGGCATGGTAGAAGCTGGACACATAGGTCATTATGGCCTTCTCGTCGGGCCGGGCCGTGTTCACGATGTCTGCAAGTGAACGACAAGGGTTAAACCGCCCAGTGGGGCGGCTGGGGGTGCCGCTCACCAGGATGCAGGGGCTCCCAAGGCCACAGCCATCAGAGTGGATGCCGTGACACCTGGTGACTCGGGTGGGCTCAGCCACACCCCAGCCCCCTTCCCCCATGGCCTTGGGAAAGGCCAAGGCTGTGGGAACTGGACTGAAACGAAGCCACTTCCTCTCTCTGAGAACGGCCCCAAGGGGCTGCTGGACAGTCAACTCCAAGGGCCACCAGAGGCCAGAGACCTGGGTCCTGGCAGGGGGTGGGGCACGGCTGGGAAATGGAGCAAAGCCGGAAAAGGAAAAAACAAAACTCTCCACTTTGGCAGGCTCCAGACTCCGTGCTGCGGCAGCAGGGAGGGGAGAGGCCAGGGCTGCTCACAGGAAGTCTGGAGCCAGCCCTCCTCGGCCACTTCGTCCCCCCTGGGCCTTGGCAAGACGCAGCCCCCGGAGAGCCGATCCTTCGAGCTCCCCTTCCCACCCCTTCTCTGTCCCTGAACGCGTCTGGGCGGCTCCCCAGGTCACCGGGACTCACAGGGCCCTTTCCGCTGGCTGTCAGCTCCCGGGGTGACCTCCGAGCTCTGACACACCCACGGGCCTTTGCCCAAAGCCAGGCCTGGACAGACGAGGCCCAGGGAACACAGTGCTGACCGAACAGAAACGTGTCCTTACCCTCTGCATCCAGCATCTTGGGGATGTCGAGGTATTTCTCGGCCACTTCGAAGGCATTGTTCAGGTTGGTGACCGGGTCGTCCTGTGGGAGGCAGGTGGGGAAGGAGGAAGGACTCCATCAGGGGCAGGAGGGAGCCAGGGCTGGCCTGGAGGAGAGGGAGTGTGGGAGGGGGGCAGGGCTGGAAGGTTGGGAGGAGGGCATACCCCGAATAAATTCAATTCCTACCCACAGGAACACCTCTTGAAACCTTTGTGGAGCAAATTATGGGCCTTTTCTCCAGAAAAATGCAGGCCTGCTCTTTTCATACCATTTCCAGCTATTCACGGACCCCAGATTAAAGCCCCTCCCCAGAAACGGGGTCCAGACCTGACGGGGCTAGAGGCGGGAGAGGGGAGCAAATCCAGAGCGCCCTGGTTCCACCCTGCTGCTTACAGACTAAAGCCCCTGACTCTCCGTCCCCAGAGCCCAGCTCACCTACTCGCTGTGGCTGGAATGGGCCACATGCAGGCCAGTCCCACCACCCATGCCCTCCTCTGGCTTTAACCTGCCTCCTCCCCCAGGGCCCTTTCCTGCTCCTGCCAGTTCAGGGTGCACCAGCCTCTCCCGGCAGCACTTCAAAAGTGTCTGACCCCACCCCCCTCGCCCCGTTCAGCCCGAGCCCTCCTGCACGGCCTTGTGCGGTGGTCACTCCCGATACAACTGTCCTGCCTTCCCTGGGAGGCTGGGGGCTCCTAGAGGGCAGGGACTAGGGTTTGCTTTGTACAAACTAGAACAGGACCCCGCACAGGAAACGCCGGCTGGTGGTGACCGTTTGGAATTCGTTACCTTCCTCCCCATCGAGCAAAGAGGAATGCTTCCAGAATCCAGACGGTTAAGGAAGGGGAGTTAGAAGGCATGGCTGGCCAGGCCCTAAAATAACCCTGGGTGGGTTGCAATGTCCACAGAGGGAGATGGGACAGTCCCCAAGGGGAGTAAGTGAGGTAGACTTGGCCTCTAGGCCAGGAGTCTGGGGAAGCTGGCAGGAGGCTCTCCCAGCAGGCCCATCTGAGCACAGGACCCAGCTTTGGAGGCTGGCATTGGTTGGCCTTGGGGACGGTGACCCAGAGTTAGGGCTTCACACTCAGGTGCCTATGAGCCATGGAGGGGAGCTCGAGACACACACCTTTCTCAGCTTGTCGTACTCGATCAGCTCCGGTCTGTGCCGGTGGATCAGGGCGTTGAAGGCAAGACCGTCCTTCCAGCTGGGGGAGGAAAGGCAAAGGTTACGAGGAGGGCACCCTCCCCACCGTGGGGTCCCGGATGGCTCTGGGCACTGCGGCAGTGATCAATTCTCACCTACTGAAGTTTGGCGAGTGCCAGCACCACAGGGGGACAGGACGGGGAGAGCAAACTCTGGAGCCAGCCAGCCTGGGGGCAAATCCTGGCTCTTCCGCTCCCTGACAGCCTGACCCCCTGCAAGTCGCAATGCCTCGGTTTGTAAAAAGGGGATAGCAGCCTAGGGCTGCTGTGAGGACTAACTGGGTAAATGCTTAGACCAGTGCCTCCCTCACGACAAACACTTTGGGACTGCTAGCCTACTTGCCAGGCGCGGTACACGGGAGGCCCCCGAATGGGACAGGCCCCAGCCCCACCGCAGGAGGCTGGTGGCTGTGCTGCCTGACCTCTGCACCTTGGCCGTCCTGACCCACCGGAGGGCCAGTCCACGGGCTAAACGCCAGGATATGGCTTGGCACGAGAGTCTCTGAAGGAAAATGACCCTCCACAAGGTCACGAGCTGGTCACAAGCTGGATTGGTTACACTCTCCTCCCTGAGAGCCTCTAAAGGCTGCTTCCTTCTGGGGTCAAGCTCAATGTCACCTCCTCAGAAAGGCCGTCCTGGTCACTTTCTGTCACCTCATCCTACATTGCTGTCTCCGCACAGCACTTCTTACTGCCTGACACTGTGCTGTAGGGTTGTTTGCTCACTGCCGGTCCCCTGCTGCAGTACAAACTTCCCAGGGACGGGGACTCTGTCTGGAACTGCCGTTTCCCGACCATAGCATGCAGCAGGTGCTCCGCAGATATTTACTGAGTGAATAAACGAGCGAATGAAAGCTCAGAAGGGAACAGTCGGTTTGTGGCAGAAAAAGGAAGGAGACACACAGAGCAACCAAGGGAAGGACCACGCGCTGTGAATGGCAGAGTGTGATGAGAAAGGCCCTCGACAGCCGAGGACATGGCAGGACCGCTGTGGATGCCATGAGGCCCTGCTGGTCACTGCTGAGCACACCCCTCCCAGAGGCTCAGCAGGGTGAAGTCACAGGGTCGAGCCGGACCTGACGACCTCAGGGCCACCCCAGGGCCCGTGCTCCTAGCCACCAGGCAACCTCGCCTCCTGCCGCATTCTGGACCCCGTGCGACGGTGGACACATCTCGCCTCCCTCTCTTACCACGAGGGAGACAAGTTCACGGCAGGGCTGAGTCTCGTTCAGGTTAGTAGCCACAGAGTACATGTTCTACAAGATAAAATTCACTAGCAACTCCAAGGACTAATCCCTCTGCTGCTTCTGAGAGTCACCGTGCCGGGGAGGAGGATTTTCTAAGGTCTGTGGGAGAGCCAGGTCTTGCTGCTGCAGCCCAGGACAGCTGAGCGGCTGCCTCTCCTCCCTGGGGAGGAACCAGGTGACCTTCCTTGGGTCCCGGCAGGAAGTGAGGGGATAAGAAGGGCCGCGGGGTGCCCTGGTCAGGCACTTACCTGATGTGGAAGTTCTGCACGTTGACGTTCTTATACGGGGCAGTCTTTCTCTGACACCAGAGGAGGAGCCCTTCCTTGGCAGAGGTCTCTGCAAAACACACAAGGACAGTGAGCACTGGCTCAAAAACAAACCCTCAGAACCCAGCCCAGGTTGGAACGGACTTCTGCCCTCAGACTTGGGGGACAGAGAACCTTGGATGCAACAACGGCAACAGTGAAAGTGGCAACAGTGAAAGTGGAAACAGGCCGGGCGCTGTGGCTCACGCCTGTAATCCTAGCTCTTGGGAGGCCGAGGCGGGCGGATTGCTCAAGGTCAGGAGTTCAAAACCAGCCTGAGCAAGAGCGAGACCCCGTCTCTACTATAAATAGAAACAAATTAATTGGCCAACTGATATATATATATAAAAAAAAAATTAGCCGGGCATGGTGGCGCATGCCTGTAGTCCCAGCTACCCGGGAGGCTGAGGCAGAAGGATCACTCGAGCCCAGGAGTTTGAGGTTGCTGTGAGCTAGGCTGACGCCACGGCACTCACTCTAGCCTGGGCAACAAAGCGAGACTCTGTCTCAAAAAAAAAAAAAAAAAAAAAGAAAGTGGAAACAACAGCCACTCTGGTTCTAGATATGGAAAGACCTCTGCCACTACTCCTGCTTAAGCCTCACGGCCGCGAGGAGACCAACTCAACCACAGCCGCCCCAGGAAGTGGCAGTGTCAGGACAGGCACCGTGCTGCTTGCCTGACCACCAAGCCTGTACCTTTAACCACCAGAACACAGTCACAGACGAGCCCTCGACAGCGGCCGGGGCCTCTTATGAACAAGGTGAAAAACACCAGCATGGACAGCTCAGGAGGCCCTTCTATGCCCAGGGACGGCTCATTGTCCTTGTCCTCACAGACTAGGAGTCCTACAAGGGCAGGGAACACGTCTGACCTGGCACCCATCCCCTCTACGCGCTGGCCAGGTGGCTTTGCTCATCTTGGGCTGCACGCAGGTGCCTGGAAGCAAGTCAGTCTGCTCCTGCGCGGCCTGAGCCGACCCAGCTGCATGGAGGCAGGAGTCCAAGGACGGGGACATCCAGTGGAAAGAGAACCAGGCCCTGGCCCAACTCCGCCACTAGTTTCTTGTGTGACTCAGTTTCCTGGACTGTGAAATGGGGCCAACCTTCCACGCCTGCTTCACGAGAGGGGCTGAGGGTCCGCTGAGAGAACAGAGGTGCTCTGGGCGGGCGCCAGAGCCCGGAGCGGGGAGGGCTGTGGGGGCGGGCCCCCTTCACCTGCCGCCCACTCACCGCTCCTGTAAATGGCCAGGCCCTGGGAGTGACCTCAAGGCAGCCGGGAAGAGGCCTGAAGCACAAAGCTAACACTCAGGAATTCTGATCTAACTCACACGACTTGAGAGGACCAGGGTGGGAAGCAAAGGCGGGTCTCGCCCAACTCTTACCTTCCACAGAGATGTCCTGGATGGCGAACCTGAGGATGATGGTCCAGATCATTCCCAGGGTCATCTTTGCGTTGCCGTCCACGATCTCTGCATGTGGGAGGGGGCGGAGGGAGAAGGCTGTTAACACGAGATGCCTCCTCTTTCCCTTCCGTCCCTTCTAGAGACCAGCTCTGAGTGATTTGCCGGCGGGACCACCCAGGCCTGTCCTCCTCCACCTCCTGGGGAGAGAATGTGCCTGAACATTCTCTGGGAAGCTCTGCTGTTCCCTGCCTGCTGCTGCTGAGGGCCTGCAGGCCTCTGTGCATTGTTTCCTCCACCACGACGCCCGCCCCCCAGCTCGTCCCCTCGACAGCTCCGCGTTTGGCCCTCTGTGGGCACCCGGGTGTGCTCAGGGCAGCGACGGCCGTCTCTAAGCTGCGGTTGGCCAGGGAAGGCGCACACACACTGCGCTGTCGTTTGTTGACCGTGCCGCCCTCTCTCTCCCAGCGCCTGCTGCAGCTACCCGCACTGTACCCCCAGCCCATCCTACACAGCAGCAAGGAGGTCGTCTTTAAAAGGCACTTTGGATTTGTGTCCGATGTCACAACGGCAGCGAAAGCAGTAACAGCCACCCCCATTCTGCACGTGGGAAGCCCTCTGCCACACTCCCTGCTCTAAGCTTCTGTCTGCCACAAAGTGCGCCCCATGCGCCTGCCCCACATGGCTGGTCCTCATCCTGAAGGCCTCTGCTGTGTGTCACCTCTCAAAAATGGCTTCCCAAGGAGCTCCCCCCGTCTGCCCAGGTCCTCTCTACCTGTCCCACGTCACCATTTGTGATCGCGGATCTGTTGGTTTGTTTACTTGTTTGCTGTCTGCCTTCAGGGGCAGGGCCGTTCTGATCACTGTGTCCCCGTGGCTGGGCAGGCCCTTGAGGGACACATGCTGCTGCTGCTGTGGTGTCAGAAAGGGGAAAGCAGGGGACACGGGCCAGACTGCTGGGCTGCGTGCTTTCTTAGCTAACCTAAAAGCAAACATTTGCTCGAACTTCTGGGAGCGAGAAAGAAGAGCAGGGACCACACGTTCTTCAGCAACTTAGAGAAAAACCACTTCCACAAGGCGAGGGGCAGCGTGGATCTGCCGCTGGACGGGACAAGTCAGCGCCTCGCCCTGCAGCCCCTCAAGCAGGGGTGCCTGGGGCAGTCCTCTAAATGCCTTCTGCTCCCGCATCTCGCAGGCTCGGGGACATGGCGAGGTGGCTTCCGAAGAGGGAGGGGGCTCCACCGCCGCAGCCACTGGAGGGGAGGGGCTGGGCAAAGGGGCGAGTTCCAAAGCTAACTGCAGAGCTGGAGAAGGCTGCGAGGGACCCTGCAGGAGACCCTGTCACGCCTTGGATGCACATGGAGTGGTCACCCAGAGGACGGGGCCCGCCTTCCCCAGGGACGCCCCCAGAGGAAGGGGCTCTATTAGCCACAGTGGAGAGGCCCCCACAGCACAGTCACGGCCTGTGGCTGATGGCAGCCTTTGAACTTTGGGTTTTAGGATGAGGAAATACGCTCAGTCTGCTGCCCAGAGGCAAGGGAGGAACCCAGAGTCTGTGCTGGTCCTGCCCCAGGCAGGGGTCCTCAACCCCCCCCTTTTTTTATTTATTATTTATTTATTTATTATTATTTATTTATTTATTTATTTATTTATTTATTTATTTATTTGAGACAGAGTCTCACTCTGTTGCCTGGGCTAAAGTGCCGTGGCATCAGCCTAGCTCACAGCAACCTCAGACTCCTGGGCTCAGGCGATCCTCCTGCCTCAGCCTCCCGAGTAGCTGGGACTACAGGCATGTGCCACCGCGCCTGGCTAATTTTCTCTACATATTTTTAGTTGGCCAATTAATTTCTTTCTATTTTTAGTAGAGACAGGGTCTTGCTCTTGCTCAGGCTGGTCTCGAGCTCCTGACCTCGAGCGATCCTCCTGCCTCGGCCTCCCAGCCTCAAACTTTTTAAACAGGGGGCCAGTTCACTGTCCCTCCAGACGGCTGGAGAGTGGGGTGCACATTCCACACATGCGCACTGCGGGCCTGGGACGAGTCGGCTGCCAAGCAGGACAGGCAGCGGCGGCAAAAACACCCGGCCGGTCCTTGGGGGGCCACATGTGGCCCGCGGGCCGTAGTTTGAGGACCCCTGGCTCAGAGCCCCAGACCAGAAACTACGCAGGGCCCCCTGCCCTTTCCCAGCGTGGGGCGAAGGCAGCTCTTCCCCCAAAGCCAGGGAGACGAGCACAGTCTGGAGGGGAGGCCGCGGCTCCCACACCCAGCCGGCCGCAGGTGCGAGCTGCTCACGCAGGGCTTAGAGTTCCTGTGAGGAGAGGAGGAGGCGTCTCTCGTGACACATCCACCAGCTGCTTCTCTGACCCGCAGCTGTGCCTCGGCTCCTGTCCTTCCACGAGCCCCCGCGACTGCTAGAGCACGTGGAGGGACGGGAGACAGGGCAGGGGCGAGGGCTCTCAGGTGCTCTGAAGCCCAAGGAATGTCCCCACTAGGCGCCCTCCAGCTGTGTCCCAGGGCCTGGAGCTCACAGGGCTTGGAGTGGACCCATCTGGGCATGAACAGAGAACATTTTTAGACTGAGTTTTTCTCCAAATGAAAACTGATGACCGCCACAGGTCTCTCCTCTAACCCCTTCTGTATTTACAAACTAGCATGTGAGCAAAATAAATGCAGCTGTGAGAAGCAGAAGGCTGGAGTGGAGCCCAGAGGAAAGATCCATGCAAGGACAGAAAATCTCAGGGCCTGATTGAATTTTTGGGTTTTGCTTTTTTTTCTTTTTTTAAACACCAACCACCTCGACTGTGGCATGCAAGGCTTGGCACCTCTCCTCGGAGAGGTCCCGGGCTGGGGCAGAGCCTTGGAACCCAGCACGCACATTCCGGCCTGAAGTCTTGGCCACGCTCTCAGAGTCCTGTCATTAATGGCAATTAGTTTTCTTTGTTTTTCGAAAAGCTGGGACAACATGGACGTCCGGGTGTAGAAACCCTGCTCTGACTAATGAGCGGAACCGCGAGCCCGGCTGCTGGGCTCGATCAGGCCTCGCCTCGTCTCCGAAAGCGCCTGGGAGCTCAACCCGGGGCCCTGCCGAGAGCCCGCCGCTCCAGTGCGAGGGCCTGGGGGTGGCAGATCGTGGTCCTAGGTGTCCACACAGAAGGATCCTGGGGTGGTCAGAGGACGAAGTCTGGCACTGACCTTTGGATTCGCACTCCCCGCCCCAGTGCCTAACACAGGGCCTCCGGCCCCCGCCACGCACACACAGAGACAAGGCAGGGCATAACAGCGAGGGTGCTCCTGGCACGGAGACAGGCCACGTCACGTGTCTGTCCAACAGGCCCAGCACGAGGACTAGTGAGGGCAACCAGGTGTCCGTCAAAGCCATTCCTCCCCCTGTGGGGACAGCTTGGCCCCCAAGGTTGGCGTTGCACCTCCCAGATTTGGACTGCACCTGCCTGGATTCTTCTTTGGAGCTGGGGGGAGCCTGGGAGCCCAACATCATATCAAGGGCAGTCATTATGATCCCCCCTATGTACTGGGGCTTTAAGCACCCCAAGTGCTCTGCCACCGACGAAACTTCTGTTCAGAGTGCAGGTGTCGTGCCCCAGAGCCTGGAGGTCAGAAACCGAGCTAGGCGCTGGCTGCCTCATCTCCGACTCACCTTCCGCCCCGATGGAGACCAGCTTGACGCCTTTGCTGGCGATGAAGTCCAGGGCCTTGTTCACGTTGTTGATTTTGTGCACTCTCATCTTCCCCCGCTCCGGCTTAGGTAACCGCTCCCCTGAGATGCACGGAGAGAAAGGGGGGCAGGAGAAGCGTTAGAGCCCCCCTGCTCTCCCAAACCAGGCCTCTGCTCCCCGCTGGCCCGCCTAGCGGCTCCAGCTCCAGCGCCACCACCCTCGCGGCAACGGGGTGGCCGGGTGGGCGGCGTCTCTAGGGGCTGCACTGCGACAGTGAGAGCCTCACCTGAAATGACCTCGAGGAGAAGCATGAGCTTGAGCCCGTCTCGGAAGTCCTCGTCGATGTTCTCGATCTGCGTGCCCGCCTTGCGCAGGTGGGAGTTGCACCACGCCGTGAAGGTCTGCGGGGCGGAACAGGGCGTGAGAGCTGGCCGGGCTGTCGGGGCCACCACAGCGCGGGGCCGCCGCCCTGGCCTCCGGAGAACAGCGGTCACCTCGGACACAGGCCCTAGACCCACGGTTTCCCATCTTCAGTGACCCGGGCATGAAGACACGAGGAAACTGAGGCTCGGGGCGGTTAATGATCCGCGCACAATCACCTGGGCAGTGAATGGCAGGGCCTGGATTTGAACCCAAGTCAGCCAGCCTTGGCAGCGGCGCTCTTTCCACAACACCAAGCTGCCTCGAGGCGCCCAGTACGTGCGTCCCACAAAGGTGCCTCCGCCGCGGCCTGCTCACTCGGTCACCCAAACCTGACTGTGCACCGGGCCTGGAGCGTGGAAATGGGCAGGGCCCTGTGCTCACGGGCCGGAAGGCCCAGCGCGTCTCAGAGGGAGCGCTGGCTCGGACACGGGTCCCAGGTCTCTGTTTGTCTGTCCTGTTTTGTTGGGAGCGATTTGGTGGGAGGCAGGCACCCCGCCAGGTCAGGGCGCCGTGTCTGAGGAGAAGGTTTCTGAGGATCAGCTGGAAGATGGAGGAGCCGGAAGGTAGGGAGGGTTCTGAACAAGAAGTCTACACCCCAAACCAGAACAGACCAAGGACGACGGCAGAACACCTGAGGACAGGGCAGTCAGCCCCCTGCGAGCTGGGGCACGTCCCTGTCACCAGACCCACAGGAGCATCTCAGACGAGTTGACACCACACGCCCAGACACCTTCCGGGGAAACCAGCCCACCTACCCTACCGCGGGAGTCTGGGAAAAGCCCCAGGTCTCTGCTTCTCACAGGAGCCTCTGTGCCCCGCAGCCCACCCTGCCCCCCGGATCTGCAGGGGCCGGTGTGGAAGCGGGCAGACCGCCAGGGACAGGCAAGAGCACATTCCACACCCACAGTGCGGGCTGAGGCCATGTGGGGGACAAGGGGCTTCCACAGAGCCTCTGGCCAAGCACCATGTGTTTTGACAACTGACATCAGTCCTGCTCATTCAGACAGAGACTTGACACAAGGCCCCTCCCAGACAAAGCAGCCGCCTAATTAATAAGCTGCACCACGGCGTGCACTCGCTTAGGCAGCGAGACCACCCCCACCCTGCCTCTCCCCAGCAGCAGAAGTTCCTCTGCCTGGGAGACAGACACTCCTCCTGGTGGCATGATCCCGTTCCCCCAGCCAAGGATACGTCTGCCCTGCTTCTGATTCGCCCTGTAGCCAGCACCTACCTACCCTCAAAACTCAGCCCAAGCAGGCGCCTCTAGCTTCCCCCACCCGGCTCTGCGTAGACCGCACCCACCGCAGCGCCCGCTCTCTGGTCTCCAACAGTCGTGTTTCCTCTTCTGCCCCCGCCCCAGCTGTGGGCTCCTTGAGGGGAGGGGCCGCAAGCGGGTTCTCATTCGCCGTCCCAACCCTGTCTCCTGTGCTTCCCCTACACAACCGCGAATTCAGACAACCCAGGGCTGGACCGCTGGTTACACCACCAACGTGGCAAAGGTGCCCAGGCTTCCCAACTTCCTTCTCCTCCTCTGCAACTTGGCCATGAAGATACCACCTGAGCAACGGCCAGCGTGAGGGCTCGCGGCAGTAATGCCTGCAGAACGCGCGGCAGTGCGCGGTAAGTGGCAGCTCTCCAGAGGGCCCTGTGCCTCCCAGGGTCTCCTCCCTGCCTGCCCCAGGCTCAGGACTCCTGCCCCCCTCCTTCTGCAGAGCACGTTCTCTCGGCCCTGCCTGCCCTCGCCACCACATAGCCTGGGCATCTCTCTGGCGGCATCCTCCAGGCATTTTTTGTCTTATTGGATGTCGCACACACACAGCTCTCTCTCCTGCCATGCGTGAGCTCCGAGGCGGTCCGGGGTACGTCTCACCGGGCCTCTATAAGGCCCAGAGCACAGCCGGCCTCGACGGCAAGCGGCACGCGGGCCTGGAGCCCAGCAGCCCTGTAGGGCAGAGGGCAGGAGAAAGGAGTGGCCACAGAGGCTGGGGCCCTGCTCTCTCTGTGCCTAAAAGACGCTGTTGGGCAGCAAAGTGACCGAGTCACACCCCACAGCCCGAGGGTGCGAGAGGGCTGCCCCTCGAGGGCCGTCCCCCGGTGCTGTGGTGTTGCCGGAGCCCATCCAGGCACGTGGTTGCAGGGAGGGCCGTGTGTGTCTGAACGGCACCCCCACCGCCTCGGCCTGCGTGGGTCGCTCTCCTCTGTGCCCGGAGGAGGCACAGACTGGGTGTGAATGAAGCCCCTCAGCTTATTTTTCTATGTTTCCAACCAAGTGACTTCACCTACTCAAGCCCGTCTCCTTCTCTGTAAGGTGGATTTGTCAGAACCTACCTCTTGCAGTTGCTCTAAGGATTAAACGGGGGTGGGGGGGTGGGGGGATGTATTTGAGCATCTGACACAGTGCTTGGCATGAGCAGGTGCCAGGTGGTGCACACACACGCATTCTGACTGGGCGCTCCTCCCCTTCTCTGCAAAGGCCCTCAGCCCACCCCCGAGGTTTGGAAGAAAGATGGGACTGCAGGAGACCCTCTGCAGACCGTCCCCTCCTCACCACGGGGAGGCTCTGAACAAACCTTGCCCCTCGGGCTCAGGCAGGCGGGGTCGCCGCGCTATGCACCCTCCATGTACACGGCCCTCCCTTGCTCATCTTCTCTGGACAGTAAACAAGAGCTCTGCCTTGGGGGCCGCTCAGACCTGGATTCAAATCTTGCCTCTGCCACTGTGGCAGTCTGCTGTAACCTTGGGCAAGCAACGAGCCTTGCTTTCCTGGTTGATGAATGGGGACCATAATCTCTCCTCTTAAGATGAAGATTAAACAAAATAATGCAAGTAAATCACTTAGCACTGTGCCTGGCAGATCTAAGCATTCAGTGTTATGCATATGTCAAAGGAAGGTCTATTTTTAAATAAATGGTAACTCTGCCACGCGCTGTCTCCTGACGGGAAGCAGCGTCCCAAGCAGGACACAGAGCAGGTGCTCGGGGAGGACACCCACTCGCCTGGCCTGGGGGGAGGAGGAACAACTCGCTCCTGAACTTGAACCTGACGCAGGCTCAGGAACCCCAGGGACGGCCTCTCACCCTCACTCCCTGCCTCGCTTGGTGCTTTCTCCTCCCGCAGGATGAGGGGCATACCTGACACCAGAGGCTCAGGAAGCCGCCCCGGGGAACAAGTCAACCACGGCCGGCTGCTTCTCCGGGCAGTGAGACCTGCGAGTAGGAGCTGGAGTTCAAATGGGACATGAAAGCTTCATCGCGTTTTCTTCTTGGTTACAAAAATAACACTCTGCTTATATGCTTCCTCTCCCTTGCGGGTTTAGACTAAGATGTGTGGGGTGGGTCGAGTGGAGAGGTGGTTTCCATAGATGGCGGCCTCATGCGCCCACCACCGTGCGGAATTCTCCACGTGCGCTACAGACCCCGGCCTGCACGGGTCCCGTCTGCTCCACAAGGGCCCAGGCCACACTCACTTCTCCAGCAAGCATCTGCTGAGCGTCAGGGAAGGACCAGGTCCCGTGCTGAATACACAGCAGTGAGCAAAAGCAGACAGGAGCTGTGCTCCGTGGAGTGCCCCGTCCGATCTCATTAATCAAGCAATTACTCAACTACAGAAATAACACCCTTAGGAAAAGCGGTAATCACTGTCACTTCCATAGAGTCAACTGCGTACTAGGCACCGTTCCAGGCACTTTGTCATGCACTAGCTTCTCTCCTCCTCACAATGATTCTTCGAGGCGGGTGCTATTACTGCCCCCATTTTACAGATGAGGAAACTGAGGGCCTAAGAGGCGAAGGACTTGCCTCCGTCAGTTACACACCTAGAAAGTTACAGAGCTGGACTGAAGCCAGGTAACTCGGGCTGCAGAGGCCGCGTGGTTAGGTATTATGCTGCACCTGTCCCCCTCCGCCATAACGGGAGCCGGTGAGTGTGTTCGGCATGGTGGGCGAGTGCCAACTGAGCGGTGGGGGCAGATGCCCGCAAATGTCCCCGAAGAGGCAATTCGCAAACTCTGAGCTGAAGGATGAGGAGTTAATGAGACAAAAATGAGGGGGGCTTTCTAGGGATCAGGAACAGCGTGTGCAAAGGCCCTGCGGCAGAAGGGAGAAAGGGAGGGAGGGAGAGTGCAAGTCCCATGGGCCGGCCACGCTGTCTCCTGCTACATGGGGCAAACGCTGGAGGGGGCACGGGTCAGCGTGCGAGGGCCGGGAGAAAAGGAGGGTGAGGAGCCTCCCAGAGAAATGTCCTCCACGCAGGAGGAGGGCGGCAGAGAAGCCATGTCAGAGACGCGACCAAAAATGCACACTCAAGGTTTCCATCTCATCGGGAGGAACGCGAGCTGCCGGCCCCGTGAGAGAGGAAGGAAAGGCAGAAACCCGGCCTTGCGGACGCGGCTCGTTTTCCAGGAGTAGCACCAACCCGGACAGGTGGAACGTGGCAGTGGCCGCGCCCCAGCGCCTCACCTGCGCGGCGCCCGATGCCTTCGCCTGCGGGGCGGATGCGGGCTGGGGGCCTCTCCCGACCACTGGACGGGGAAGCAGCAAAACAGACATGTAATTTACACTCGGGGGGCAGGGGCACATCAAAGGTAACAATAAATGCTAGTTCTTACTATTTACATATTGGCGACTCTTTAAAACCTCCAGCCCCATGACCACATGAAATGGTGTCTTCTCTATGTGATGGATGAGGAAACTGAGGCAGGGAGAGGGTAAGTGACTTGCCTGACGTCACACAGCTAATAATAAACACAAACACGGAGCGGGCACTCTCTGAGTGGAGTGCGGGGTCCGGCAGAGTGAGGGGGGAGACGGCACAACCAAGGCAGGAAGGGCCCGGCTGCAGCCGAGTCCCCAGGCCGGAGGTGAGCTTGGAAAGCAAGGCAGGCAGGGTGGCGCCCCCCACACTCGCCTGCTCTTAAAGGGCGGCCCGGGCAGGGTGAGGCAGGCAAAGGAGTGCCAAGAGCGGGCCTGCTGCTCCCTGTCCCTGGCCACCCTGCGAAGGGAGCTCACACCCAGCCCTTGACCTATCTAGGGAGGAAGGAAGGATGCGGACGCGTCTGTCTTTGAGAACACACGTGAGAAAACCGCAGAGAGGAGCCTTCACAACGGCCCCTGCACACTGGCAGCCTGTTAAGAGAGTCCTCTGGTTGCTAAAATAGCACAGGGTGTGAGTTGGGGGAGGAGGAAGAGAACGAGGGGAAGGAGGAAGACGACAGACAAGCTTGTGGCTTCGTTTGGGGTCCACTGTCACCACTCCATGTGCCGAGGCCCACGGGGAACTGGACGGGGTGGGCTCAGGGAGTTGTTTCTGCTTTGTCACTGTGGGCTGCAGGGGGAAGGGACCCAGGATCACTGGCCATAAAGTCCTTCCTGTGTCACAGGGACTGGACCCCTCCCAGCTGCCAGGATGTGGGGCGGCCGGGTTGAATGAATGATGGATATTGTTCAGGAGGTGACCTAAGCAGGCAGGAATGTGGCGGCAGTGGGCTTTAATGAGCCATTCATCAATGACGCCCTCCCCCAACCCAAAGAGGTGAAACACTCTGCTCTGGGGCAGTCCCCAAGTAAGTGACAAGCATCGAGAAAACACAGGGCAACCCCGCGGCGCGCCAGTGGGCAGAGCGATGGGACACATGAGGACGGGAAAGGGTTCTGGTGGGATGGGGTGGCCCCAGCTGGAAAAACTTCCCTTCCCCTTTCTTCCTGACTTCCTGTTACAAAACACGGTCTTGGTGCCGAAGGGGGCGGTGTGGAGGGAAACGTCTGTTGGGAGCTAGAATTCCACTAAGCCCAGGATAAAAGGAGTCTCTTGTGAACTCAGTTTGGGCCTAGAAACAGGCCGACCGACCCCTAGGTTGCGGCGAGTGCGCTTGCTCTGAGCAGCACGGGACCTGGGCCAGGGCCGGGGCTTCTCTGTCCCTCCTGCCTGGCAGACGCTCACAGGTGGATTCTGTCCCCTGCGCCTGACAAGAGTTTAGGGAAGACTGATCACCGTCTCATGCTGTATCCTCTGCCTCCAGCTAGGGGCACCCACCCGCTCAGCAGGACAGCACGGGCCGGTGGGCTGGCCGAGGGACCAGGCGCGGGCGTTTCCCCCGGGGCTCAGGGCTGACTGCAGCTGGCCACGGCAGGCTCCCCCAGGCTACGCAGACGCCAGACAGCGCTCCCTGGAGTCCTGGGAGTTTTCAAACCTTTGAAATACCGTGTTGGGTTTGCTGTTCCGCGGGGGCCTCAGCTGCTTTGAGGGGCAGGGCGGCGTCCCACCTCCTGAACTCCCGCCTCGCCTGCTGCGGCCTCTGAGGCTGCCCATGGTTCCCGCTTCCATGGATCCTCAGGACGGGTGTCCGGGACTTGGACACAGGGGAGGGACAGCTATTTATTCCTACGGTAGGCACCCACCCTTCTTATCACCCATCTGCCAGGCTACGCCTGGCCCCAGGGGGGCACCTTCTCAGTTCCTGAAAGCAGAGACCGCTCCCCCGGGCTTGCCGTCAACTATAAAGGCGCCTTCAGGGCCCGGCGGCTAAGCCACCTGGAATCTGGGTTACCAGCCGCCCAAGCAAGGCGGCAATCGCGCGGCAAGGGAGTTGGTGAGACTGTACATGTGAGCACTGTTTGGAAGATCCACGGCCTTCACCAGATCCTAAGAGAAAAACAAACCCAGGGACTAGGCCGAGAGAACAGAAGATGAACTGGTTGAGAAGACACGGCCACAAACGAGATGGGTGCAGCAACGCGGAGGCAGAGCCCCGCCAGCGTGGGTGACCAGCACTGGAGCCACCGCAGAGCGAGGACACGAGGGGCTGCCCGGCAGCGCCCCCCAGCCAGGGGCAGAGCAGGCGAGCTGTGTGCGCCTGCCCCGTGATGACACAACCCGATTCGGAAGCAGCTACAGTGAAACATGGAATGCTTCTTATGTCCTCGCCCGAAGTTGCCTTATTCGGAGTTTTCTCAGCCTACACGAAAAAGCTCTTACTTCCCAGTTGGAGCAGAGGTATAAATACTGCGGAGCGGAGTAGTGAGCATTCCTAAGAACCTGCGTGGCCATCCAGAAGCCAGCGCCTCACCCCCACGGCCCCGCTCTGAAAAGTGCACGCTGCTGCCGCCACAGACCGACCCTGGAGCACTGTCCCTTCCTCGTGAGACACGCTGGTCCTGAACGTCCTCACAGCTTTTTTTTTTTTTTTTTTTGAGACACAGTCTCACTGTGTTGCCCAGGCTAGAGTGAGTGCCATGGCGTCAGCCTAGCTCACAGCAACCTCAAACTCCTGGGCTCAAGCGATCCTCCTGCCTCAGCCTCCCCAGTAGCTGGGACTACAGGCATGCGCCACCATGCCCGGCTAATTTTTTCTATATATATTAGTTGGCCAATTAATTTCTTTCTATTTATAGTAGAGACGGGGTCTCGCTCTTGCTCAGGCTGGTTTCGAACTCCTGACCTCGAGCAATCCGCCCGCCTTGGCCTCCCAGAGTGCTAGGATTACAGGCGTGAGCCACCTCGCCCGGCCTCACAGCTCTTTCTTTACAGGGCTGGTTCCGTCTCATCACTCACGACTTCCCCCTCGACTGTCATCGTCCCGGGAGGCCTTCCCTGCCCCTGTCCCGCGTTCACAACCAGTCTCCCTCCCGAGTAGCTCCACGAGGGGAGGGCCGTTTGCTGTAGGGCCCCACTGCCTGGAAAGGTGCCTTGCACATAGTAGGTGCTCGATAAATCCAAGAATGAATGGAATAGGGACAGGGCTCCTCGTGTCCAGCTGTTTAGGTCTCCATGGTTTCTAAGCCCATTTTATACTAGACAGGGTCCCTACTTGATAAAACTGCTTGCTTTCAGAAGTTAACAAAAATAATCCTGGGGATGTAGACAAGCCAGGGGAGAAAACGGTCTGGGCTTGCCACTCCGTGGAAGAGCAGGGCCCTCGACAGCCTTCCGCTCCGGCCTCCGAGGCCCCTGGGCTTGCAGGGACCCCGGATCAAGCGGAGCTGGACCCAGACGTGGGCGGCAACGGGTGGCTAGAAAGAGGCAGGTTGAGGAGCTGACGAAGCCTCCAGAAAGCCTATCTGCCTGGAGAGGACAGCATGGCCCAGTGCTCCAGAGCAAGGGCTCTCAAGTGTAAACAGACAGGGGTTCAAATCCTAGCCTCGCCACTTATTAGGCGCGTGTGGCCTCAGAAAATGAACTTCACCTCTCTAAGCTTCAGCCTCCTCCTTTGTAAAATGAGGAAGAATACTCACTAGGATAACATAAAAACCACTACCCGCACAGCCTGGCAGGAAGTAAGTGATCAACTGATGTTCTATTCATTACTCTGTGGAAGGTGCCACTCCTTGGTATCAGCACTACGGTTGGTAAAGTCAGATCCTTCTAGGAGTCCCCACGTTGATGGCTACACTCTTGTGGCTGACACAAAGTGGCTGTCCTCAAACCTCCCTTCCTTAGCATAGCTACCCAACTACCAAATGAGTAAAGGAATGTAATTATCAGATCTGCTCCTTCTTGCTTCCAGAGATCCTTCAAATCCAGTGGTTCTCAATCCTGGCTGTGCGTCAAAATTACTTGGAAGCTTTTCTCTCTCTCTCTCTCTGAAATAATATATATTATTAAGCTTTGAGGCAATTTGTTACACAGCAGTAGATAACTTATATAATTTAGTAGCAGAGTTGCTGGATCACAGATGTGTGTGTACTCTTTTAGAACACGTAAACCATTCAAAGAATCAGTATTTTTTTTTTATTGATATAATTCACATACCATAAAATTCACGCTTTTACATTCATAAAATTCAGTGAGTTTTTAGTATATTCGACACTGTGCAACTACCACCGCTAGTTTCAGAACGTCTCCATTAACCCCAAAACTGTTAGTGGTCATCCCCACATCCCCTTCCTGCCCAGCCTGCGGCAACCACTGGCCTACTCTCTACGGATTTGCCTATTCTGGACATTGCATACAAATGGAATCATACGGTATATGGTCTTTTGAGTCTGGCTTCTTTCACTTAGCATGTTTTCAAGTTTCATCCATGTTACAGCATATATTAATACTTCACTCCTTTATATGTCTGCATGATAAAGGACATATCCTTTTACTTTATCCATTTTATTCACTCATTCATTAGTTGTTAGCCATTTGAGTTGTTTCTACCTTTTGGCTATCATGAATAGTGCTGCCATAAATATTCATGCACAAGCTTTGTGTGGCTATATTTTCGACTGCCCTCGGATATATACACCTACGAGTGGAATTGCTGGATCAAATTGTAACTCTATGTTTAAAAAACTGAGGAACTGCCAGACTATTTTCTGAAGAGGCTGCACCATTTTACAGCCCTACCAGCAACGTAAGGGTCCTGATTGCTCCCATCTTTGCCAATACTTGTTATCATTTGACTTTTATTATAGCCATGTAGTAGGTGTGAAGTGGTACCTCACTGTGGTTTTGATTTGTCCTAATGATTAACGTTGTTGAGCATCTTCTCATGTGCTTATTAAGCATCTGTATATCTTCTCTGAAGAAATGTCTACTCAAATCTTTTGCCTATTTTTAACTGGCTTGTCTTTTTACTGTCGAGTTGTAAGAGTTCTTTATATATTCTGGACACTAGATCCTTACCAGATA